GTCCTCCTCTGCCTCTGGAGAGTCCTGACAAGAAACAGCAGTAGGCAAGCGTGTGAAGCGCGCCAGGCACATGGTGCTGCCGGCACGCCACCAGCCGCTCACCTTGTCCTTGAGGATGTACAAGGCCACCGGATTCTTGCGCTCGTGCTCAGCGCTCCGTGGGATGGTCTCAGCTGTTGGAGGCACGGTGTTGGTTATCACGGTGTTGTGTTGGTTACCCAGTGTTAGGCACCACCAGCACTCACCCTCATGCTTCAGGCGCTCCTCGTCCTGCTCTGTGTATTCAGAAGCTGGTTGTGTCTCTGCTTGTCGCTTATCCCTAGGGAAGGGGAAGAAACGGGCAGCGCCGGCACCATGATGGGGTAGAGGTGGGGCTGCTGGGGAAGGGGCCAGTGGTCCCCAGTGGTGGGATGGGACAAGTTGGAATTGGATGGGGATGGGATGAGATGGGATGAAGTAGGATTGAATGGGACGGGACTAATGGGATGAGACAAGACCTGGCATAATGAGATGGGATGGAATGGGACAGAACAGGACAAATGGGTCAGTGCAGGTTGGGATGGGATGAGATGAGACTAAATAGGATGTAGCAAGATGGGACAAGATAAGATGAGATGAGGTAGGTCAAGTCAGGATGGGACAGGATGGGATGGGATGTGATGGGATGAGATATGAGGTCATATGGTGGGACAGGACAAGATGGGATGGGAAGAGATGAGACAGGGTGGGATGGAATAAGACAGGATGGGGCAGGAGAAGAGGACCCCCTTTGGCTCCCATGTTCCCCCAGCCATACTTCTTGGAGGGTTTCCAGCAGGCACAAACAGTCACCAGGGTGACGAGGAGGAAGATGCCACCCGTGGAGAGGATGATGTAGAGAGAGCTCCGGCCTGGGGAGAGCAATGGGGGGACAACCCCCCTGGATTTTAGCTGGGAGCATCTCCAAGAGATGTCTGTCCCCAGGGGGTGCAGGTGGCTTACGGTAGACAGTGATCTTCACGGGGATGCTGCGGCCATGGCTGATGGGGTTCTCCACCAGGCAGCTGTAGACGTCATCATCGGCCATGAGGACGCGGGTGATGGTGAGGATCTTCTGGTCAGGGGAGAGGAGCAGGCGGGAGTCGTTGCTCAGCGGCCGCCCATCTTTCAGCCAGGTGTAGGTGGGCTTCGTGCCATTCTCATGGGAACAGTTGAGGGTGAAGAACTCACTGAGCTCCAACACCGTTGAGGAGGCCACCAGCACTTGAGGCTTCGAGATGGGGACTGCGGGTGAGCAGGGGAACCATGGTGATGGGTCCAATCTCATCATGTCTCAGGTGATGTATGGGCACAGGGGATGGGAAGGGGGACATCAAAATGCCACCGAGGATATAGCTTGGCTACACAGTGTGGTTGAACCCCAAAAACCACCCCCCAGTTGGAGATGGGGTGATTGAACCTCCTAGTTGGGTAAAGCCCTCCTCAAAAGTGCTTGGGGTGCGGGTGAGCAGGGAAGCCATGGTGACACCATGCCTCAGGAGACACATGGGCCCATGGGATGGGGAGGAGGGCATCAAAACGCCACCGTGGATGTAGCTTGGCTACACAGTGTGGTTGAACCCCAAAAACCACCTCCCAGTTTCAGATGGGGTGATTGAGCGTCCCAGTTAGAGAAAGCCCTCCCCAGAGGTGGTCAGGGAAGACAACCTATAGAGAACCCAAACTCCACTGAACATCCTTCTTGCTCTTACTGTCCACAGTGAGGTTGATGGTCTTCTCGCCGGTGAAGGTGTCGTCGGTGATGGACACCTCCACCTCGTAAGCCCCTTCATCGGACAGCTGCAAGGGGCTGATGAGGAGGGAGCCGTTCTCCAGCACCCGGATGCGATCCCGGTAGTCGGGCCGTAGGTTGCCGATGATCTCGGTGCCGATGGACTGGACGACGGTGACGGGTTTGTCTCGCTTCAGCTGCCACTTGACCACGGGCTTGTCGGCGCTGGCACTGGCGTAGCGCACCGACAGCAGCGCCGCTTTGCCTGCTGTGCCGCGCACCAGTGCCGCAGGGCTGGTGATGTTCACCCCTGCCAGCAGACCTTGGGGGGGGGGGGGGAGAGACAATGGGGTCCCCAATCTGGGTCCTCCGAGCCCATAGGGAAATAGGGAATCCCATCCCAAAGATGTGCTGAGTGCCCTCAAGGTGCATCAGCACGGGTGGGATGTTCAACCAACACCTTGAGAAGATGCGGGGTGGGTGGTAGGAGACCTCCTGTGCTCAGGTTAATTGAACTATTTGGAAATCATGCCAAAAACTGAAGGGGGGGGGGGGGGGCGGGGTGTGTGTGGAATTTTTATCCCATCCCTGCTCCACTGGATGCTCTGATGCAGCCAAATCAACCCAAAGATGCCAAACTGCATCATGGAGTTGATTTTAAGGGCAAAAAGGTAGGGAAAAAGTGGGGAAAGCTGATAATTTGGAGGATAAGTCCCCAAAACAGCTTTTTCCCTAAAAATCCATCTGCCCAGTTCCCAGCCCAGGGGTGCCATCTGTGACTGTCATCCACATGCTGTTATGCGAGGGTGAACAAACTTCATATTGAAGAGGGAAGGAGGAAAAAGAATGGGAAAACCAGCTGGGAAGAGTGAAGCCGGAGCAAGAAAGGCTTTAAACAAGCCTGGAAAGTCATGGGATCTATTGGTATGCAACGTTCGTCCTTCCATTATTCCCAGCTTGGCCCCGAAAACATGCCCCAACCCGAAAAAATAGGGAGCATCTATAAGGCAAACCCAGGCCTGGGATGGGATGTAGCTTTTAATGAATCCTTGCACCCCCAAATTGCTGCTTTTTAACCATTTCTCCCCCGTTTTAAAGCGAATTGCTATTTTTGCCCTGCTCCTGGTAATGAATTTGGGAGCTAATTAATAAATCAGGCAATATTCCCATTTCCTACAGCATTCCTGGCTTAGGGATGGAGATCTCTCACCTTTTCTGGCTGAAAAACCCACTAAGACTCCTAATTTTTCCACTATTTTCCCAAATTAATCCCTATTTGTTGCAGAAAAAGCCAGTTGTGGAGGGTCCTGATATTTTTTTTTGGGTGTCAATCCAAGCTGGCAAAATGCAAAAGTGGCTTTGGAAAACTCCCTTGGCTCATCCGCAGGGAAATGGGGCTTCTCCACAGCTGATTTTGGGTCCAAACTGCAGTAAAATGGTGCAGAATTGTTGTGCGTGATATTCTGCATTTCCAGAGGCGAGATGGGGCAGTCTGGGACTCCTTAAACCCCAAAGGTGGGGTTTTAGGGAATAAAAGATGGAGGTTTCAGCAGGATGGGGAGCAGAGCTGGAAATGGGATGAGAAATGGGCTTTTTGGGAAATCTGAGGGATGGGTAAGAAAATAGAATTGGGAATGCTGAAAAAAAAGAAGAGGAAAAGGGGGCTTGGGGGAGACGAAAAACTGGGAAGAAGCTTGGGGAGGGTGGGGGTGGTGGATCCAGCCCCCAGCAGGACCTGTTTGGCCCTGGAAAAGTGTTTTTCCCAGTTTTTATTCCTCAAAAATTCCCCCTTCTTTTCCCCTTTTCCCAAGCAGAGGGGGTGCCCAACAGCTCATCAGTCCTTCCCAACCCTCCCTTCATCGGGTACCACCACCCTCATCACCCCCCCCCCCCCCCCGCCAGCATCCTCTGTCCAGATACACCCCAAACCCAAGGAAAAATGGGGAAAACCGTGTTAAAACTGGTAAAAAAACATGGGAAAACACGAAAAGCCCCTACCTGTGTGCAGAGCCAGGAGCAGCAAGCAGGGGGGACCGGGGTGGCCCCTCGGGGCGGCCGGCGCTCCCCACATTTCGCCCCCCGAATCCCTCCGCTTCCCAACTCCGGGCACGTCCCGCGGAGCTCCCGGCTTGGCGTTCCGCCCGGATAAATTCTTTTTTTTTCCCTTCTTTTTTTGTTGTTGTTCTTGCCCTTCTCAATAGAGCCCTGTGTCCTGGTGGATTTCGCCTCCCCGGCGGCCTCGAGCTGACATTTATTTGGGGGGAAAACACTCAGATTCGCAGTTCCCCCCCCCCCCCCCCCCCCAATTCCATGTTTTCCCACTCCCAGGAAGATTCTCGATGTCGGGGGCATCACCCCGTTGAGCATGGTTAAGTTTTGCCATCTCTGCTGTGGATAATCCAGTGGGTTTTAAATCTCTGAGAATTGGGGATTATATTTGGGGGGTCATTCCACAAAGCTGGATGAGCACCCCTCTCCCAGTGGGGTTTCCCCTTCCCTATTTTCCTCTTCTCAGGCTTTAAAGTGAAGCTGTGGTTGCATCCAGGCTTCATTCCAGCTCCGGTGCCAATTAGTGCCGTTCCCCGGGCATCACTGAATAGGGCAGCCGGGATACAGGGCAAGATGCCCAGAGCTGCTTCCCACCCCCCCCCGGGACCTGCCAAGCTCATCACCCCAGTGACGAGGGATCAGCCTCCATCCCCCCGAGGAGGATAAAGGGATATTTTGGAGGGGGTCCTGGGAATGCTCTGGTGGGGTTCAGGGATGCTCTGGTGGGGTTCAGGAATGCTCTGCGAGAGGTTCAGGGATGCTCGGGGGAAACTATCGGGATATTTTGGGAGGGTGAGGGGAATTCTAGGGAGGGTCAGGAATGCTCACGGGGTTGTTTTCGGGGTGCTGTGATGGGGACACCGGTCCCGTCCCGTCCCCCCCCCCCCCCTTGTTTGTCCGCGGCGGGACGCGAACCCGGGACCCCAGAATCTTGTTGGGGAGCGAGCTGTGGGCGGGGCCTGGGGGCGGAAGTGGCACCGGCATTCGAAGTAGCGGCTGGGGCGGAAGTGGCGGTTGGTAACGGGGAGGTGTGGGGGGAATTTGGGGTGAGGGGAGCGGTATGGAAGGGGGTTATGGGGTGCTGTGGGGGGGGGGGTGGTAGGGGTGGGGAATGGGGGTGCACGGCTTGGGCTATGGGGTGCTATGGGTTGAGTGGTAGGAATGGGGGTGCAGGGAATGGGAGGCTGTGGGGGACACACACTGACCCCATAGCCCCTTTCCCAGCCTCCAGACAGGATCGCAGGATGCCGCCATCCCCCTGGAAGGATCGGAGCTGCCGGGTGCTGGCCCAGAGGAATCCCCGCGTGGCCCCTGTGGGTGCCTGGGTGGAAAGTGCCCCGGTGGGCCCGGAGCAGAGCTTGGCCTTTGTGAGTGCTGCTGGGGGTCCTGTGGGTGCTCACCCCCCTGCTTGTGCCACTAAACCCGGGGGGGTGGGTATTGAAGCTGCCAGTGAGCTTTTCTTCCCTCTGAAGGCAGCCAGAGCGCTGCTCCTAGGAAGAATTAATAGGTTTTAACGACTTCTAGGAGGGTCAGAAGCCACCACGGTGTCCATGTGGCCTGGCATCCCGTTCACACAAGCCCTCAGCATCTCCCTGAGCTGATTCCCCTCGAATGAACTGGATTTTTCTTTAGTAACACTTTGGGTTTAGCCATCAGTGAGGTGGGGATCCGGGCAGTGCTCTCATCAGCTGCTGTTGATGCCCTGATTATCCATACTGTGCTTTCTGCACTGTTCATTTTAGCTGGGCCTGTGGGTTTGCAACCTGTTACTAGAAGCTGCCTTCAGCACTGGCAGCACAGCTAAAACTCAGCAGGTTTGTGCCCCCCTTCCACCTCTTCCATGAATTTTCCTCACTATTTCTGGCTGTTCAATGATTTCATCAGTGCCAGGTTTGGAATTTCATGCTTATAGCTTTGCATTTGAGGTGCCTGTGCCACTCCTGACCCCTCCCTGTATCAATTCTCTTTGCTTTCCTGTTCATCCATAAAGGATGTTGGTGAATGAGATTTTATCCCATGTTGCTGGTTTAAAAGTAAAACTAAGTTGAGACTGGAGCCAGCCTCTGCTGTGCACTGTTAGAAACACTCCAGAACGTCTTTAGTGATGCTGATCTCAGGGATTCCTGCTTTGAGGGTTATCATAAGAGGACTTAAAGCGCATTAAATCCAGGCTGATGAGTTCAGTCCCCTGTAATTAATGTCTAAATGTTCCACAAGCTACTGCCCTTCGGAGATGATTTATTTCTACATTGTCATTTAAATCCTGAAAGGTTGAGATAATAAATGGAGATGAATCATCTCCATATTCCACACAGCTTCCATCTCACACGGGAGCCCAAGTCTTCCTGCCTGCTTGGGGGCCTTTGGAACTCCAGGTCCTCCCTTGGTGTTGGGCTTTCTGTGAGGTACACAGGCTCAGTGGAGCTTATTGAAGATACTTCTATAAGCCAGCAGATCGTATTAAAAGCATACCTGTTCATGCCTCCTGCATCAGAATTGCTGCTGAGGTTGTCAAAAGGAAGCAGAGCGAGATGGGGATGGGGTTTATATAGTGGTTTCCTCAAAAACAGCACAGGTTTCTCCTGTCTCGGTGCTCTCTTTAATTGTTCTGACCTTGCTGTGGTGCTGGTCACGTTCCTGGCAGGCAGTGGGATGTGGGGACCATCCAACCCCAAGCTGATTTCAGATCCCCCTTTTTTCTCCATCCCTTCAGACTCTGGTTTTCCTGCAGTGACAACCAGAAGAGTGATGCCAATTTTCCTTAAGCCATGGTGGTATCAGCAGAATTCCTTGGCATGGCTTCAAGTAAGAACCTGGGAAAATAACACAACTGATTGATTTATTTCATTTAGGTCATTGCTTTTAATCTTTTACTTCAGAGCCTTTGCTCTGCAAGCTCCTTCTTTGACATGGTTCCAGCATTAATGAGATCCGAGGCTGGCCTGCTCCTTTTGGATCTGGGCTTTGGGTATCTGAGCATCTTTTCACTGGAGCTGTGAGTTGATGGATGAGGCTGTCGCTTTCTTTCTCTGTGTGTTACAGCTGAAGCAGGAGGTGTGCACACTCTGCCCAGCTAGGTTCAGTCCAAGCTCATCATAATCCAATAGATGTTCTCCAAGCTGTTGCACAGATTTTGAAGCAAAACATTGGAGTTTTCTCCGAGTGCTGCTTGTGGCTGCAGGTGCAGGAAGGGAAGATGGAATAGGAGCAAAAATCATGGGAAATCTGCTTTCACCTCTTGCAGGCTTCAGCCTTTCAGGTGGAGGAGGAGCTGAAGAAGCAGCAGCAGCAGAAGGCGGCCAGGCTGAGGCGATTCCAGGGCGAGGTGAAGCAGAGGGTGAACCAGCAGGTCAGGATGAGAAGGAAGCTGCAGCTTCAGAGGTCCTATGAAGCAGTAAGTAGATCTCCATCCCTGCCTTGCCAGAGGCCTTCAGGAAAAACTGAAATCAGGGGGGAAAAAAACCCAATCAGACCTCAGGTCAGTGTGTTTGTAAGGAGAAATGAGAAACTGGTGGTCATAGCAGACCCCGTGGCCACAAGTAGTGTCCCCTTGAGCAAGGTCAGTCTGACACTGTCAGGCTCTGGTACTCGGGGAGCTTTAAGCCCTTTGCCTCCCTGCAGAAAGGTCACTGCTTCTCCTGGAAGCAGCAGAGTCCTGGTGTCCTGGGCATGGAGTTAAAGTATAGCCAGAACTGTGAAGGATGTGGATGTCTCCTTGTTGCACTTAAAGCAGTTTATTCCTGCTATTCCCTTTTTCAAGGCAGACATAGTTCACAAGCAGCACTTCCATGCTGTCTCCACATTCCAATTTACCCCCATGGGCTTGTTTTAGATGATCCTTGTGAATATATTTAATCCTTTCTATTCTTAACTGCCAGGGAGACTTGCCAGAAACTGACTGTGGAGCAAGAAGGGAATGCCCTGGAATATTAGTGGTTTGGGCCGTCCCTGGGGTGTTTGGGCTTTTTCCATGGCTTGGGAGTGTGGTTGAGAGAGGCTGTGCTCACGTCACTCCTCTTGCACTCCTCCAAACTAAAACCCTCCACAGCATGATGACTCTGTGCCCATCCCAAGAAATGCCATCAAACGGAGCCAGCAGCTCCCATGCAGCATGTGTTAATCATGGAATCATTTGGGTTGGAAGGAACCTTAAAGCTCACCCAGTTCCAACCACTGCCACAGGCAGGGACACCTTCTATTAGAGCAGGTTGCTCCACAGGCCCTTGTCCAAAGCCCCTTTTTAGCTTTCTTGTAGCTGTTCAGGAAGCTGCTCCAAGGTCTCCCTGGAGCCAGGACCTCACCACCCTCATGGTGGAGGTTATGTCCCATTATCCATAGCTGTGTCCTGCAGGCAGAGCGGGAGAGCTGTGTGGCTGTGCAGTACGCAGGCTCCGCGCTGCGCCGGACCAGGATGAACACGTGCCTATTTCGGAGCCTTCCCACATCCACCATCGGCATTCCTAGTGCTCCTCATGCCATCTCGGTGCCATGGCAAGGGGAGCAGGATGAGCCATTCCAGCAGCATGCTGCTGAGGTGAGTAGTTCCTCTCCTGGGTTTTCCAGCCTTGCTTCCTCAGGCTGGATGCTAGTGGTTTGAAAGGAGGACAGGCAATGTTTCCTTTTCCAGCACATTCCTAATTCACTCTGTTGCTGCAGGTTGCCCAGAGAGGTGGTGGAAGCACCATCCCTGGAGACATCCGAGGCTGTGGATGTGGTTCTGGGCAGCCTGGCCTAGTTGAAGATGTCCCTTCTCATTGCAGGGGGTTGGACTAGATGACCTTTGAAAGTCCTTTCCAACCCAAACCTTTCCATAATTCTATGGATACAGTGAATTTTCCCTCCCCATGCAGACTTGTTGCTGTGTTGTGTCGCATAGGTAGCACTAGGTGGTGCCACCTCATTGCATCTGATCTCCTGCGCACCAGGAATGTGGGATCTTGGAAAACCTGCTTTTGGGACTGTTTAAAGCTTCCTAATAGTCATGCTTATGCTGCATCTGGCATTTCATAAAGTTTGTTCACCGAGGAGCTGGGGTTGTTCCAGTTGAAGCACCACCTGGGGTAGAGAATCACTTCTGGCTGGATACTGGGTGGGACAATTGGGAATCTGGGGCTTCTGGCATCACAGCAAAGTGGTCTGGGAGCAGGTGATCTGTAACCAAGCCCTTTACCTTGCCTGGACTGGGATTTCAGTGCACTGGGACAGCTCTGGAAATCCCTTCGGGTTGTAGGTTCCCTGATGCCTGTTTATAAAGCTCATTGTGTGTTAAGCTTTTATCCCTTTGTAAAGCACTTTGGTCAGGACAGGGCACACTGGGAGATCTCTTCATTGCAGCTGAACTTCTTGGTGCTGCCCGCACAGAAAGCAGTTGGCGATAACTTCATGTCTCTTTTCTTCACCTTCCCTCCTAACACAGCTGAGCAAAACCATGAAGCACATTCGGCACAGGCTGGCGTCCTGCAGGACTGTGCCTCAAGGAGCAGGTCCCCCTGAACTCCCTGGTGGTTTCTGGAGGCAGGAGGTGAGTGAGGGCTGCCTGGGGTGGGTAAGAGGAAGGAGCTTGCGAAGCCTTGGCTTTAATTATCAAATCCAAGGCATAGTTCAGTGAGTTTCTTCAGCAGAAATGAAACAAACTGAGCTTTTGTGACCCACCTGATGTTTAGCCCATGGATTTTGGTGGCCCGAGGGCTGTGTCCCCACTATTCTTGCAGAGAGGGCAGCAGGATGATGTGGGTGAGAACGTCTCTGTTTGCAGAGATTTAAGAAGAGAAGCTAAAAAAAAAGAATTCAAAGAAGACTTTTTAAAGGCTGAGATTGTGATCTGGGTGTCTGGGAGGAATGTGCTGATCAGCCCTCCCCTGAGGTGCATTTATTCCTTCAGCAAACCTCAACAACTCCTTCCCTTGCATCAGTCCCTTGTTTCATGTGGGTGGCAAAGATCGGGAGGTTTTCCTCACCCAGGACTGGCTTCTGGTAGAGGATTGTTGGCAAACATCTCCTTTCCTCGAAGCAGTGCAGAGAAGCCGCATAAGGTCAGTCCCGAGGGCCTCACCTTTTATTCCATTGAATTTCATCCTGCTTTTGTCACTTCAGCTCTCAGGAGCAGCTTTATGTGGCAGCTATTGTCCTGCTTTCTGTGTCAAGACCTTTCTTAAACTGATGTACTTTGTCCATCCTGCAGAACACCAGCAGTGACCCAACCTGGTATTTTGTCTCGCTGCCTCCTCCCGAGCCAGTTTCCTGCCTGTCTTGCAATTCTTCATTCCCATCTCTTTCTCGGGTTCATCAAAGGTGAAGTACATCTTGGCTGGCTGTTATCTTGAAAATACCTTTTATATAAGGGCTGGTCTGGCTCTTCCTCCTCTGTGTACTGTTGGATTTGTGTTTAAGGAAGTTAGCTTTGCCATCAGGAGTTACAGAAACAGCCTAGTTATGAGCTCGACACCTTTGTTAGCTCTTTCTGACACTACAGGTACCTTCTCTTTGAGTCCTGAGTGCATTCAGCAAGGTGGAGTGATTCATTACTACACTGTTAGGAGCACTAAAGCCTCACATAAATAATGCAGCTGCCCATGCAGGCCAGAGGGTTACAGAAGCAAGAGAGTAGAGAATAAAATGCTCTGCTACTAACCTGAGTCCTTTGAAGGTTCTCGAGGAGGGACAGCAGCTTGTTCCCTTCTCTTCACGTGCAAAAAGCTGCCCTGAACTTAACCACCCTGTAACTGCTGCTGGAGTGCACTGCCTTGCCCTTTGCTTTTGTCCTCCTTGGATTTCCTGGTGCTATATGTTCCAGCTGATTTCCTTCATTTGAGCCCAAGCATGTTTAGCATGGCTTGGTGGGGTCAGTAAATGGAGTCAAGGTGCCAGGCCAGTGGAGCCCACCTTGTTCTTACTCTGTTTTTGTGCAGTGAACTCCTGAGCCTGAATCAGGGGAGTGTTTTTAATCAGTATTGCTTCTTCCATAGAAGAGTGTTATCTAATGGGTATCTCCTCACACAAGTTTAAATTAGGCCATGCCAAAAGCTGGGTTAAAACTAGGCTGCCTCCTGCTGCACCTTGCCTGGGGCCTCTCTCTTCTGTTGCAGGAGAAAGTCAAACCAGCTAGACATGACTTGCTCTTGACAGATTTATGCTGGTTGCTGCCTATCTTGTTTTCTAGCAACTTACAGGCTGTTTGCAAAGTGATTTCCTCTTCTTTTTCCATTAGACAGGCTAAAATCTTCTCTTTAACACCTCCTTTCCCCCTCCTTTATTTAAAGGTAGACTCTTACTGCACCCTTTTCTGATAACCTGGACCTCCACAGATTTTGGGGCGGTGGAAGCTGTTGGCAGCTTGTCTGCCTTTCCTGGCAGTAGCCTAGGGCAGCTTCTGCCTGCTTCAAACCTCGGCAAGGAAGAATCTGACTTTCTTCACAGTAATAGTCCAAGCTTTTTGTTACTGCTGCCCGTATCCCAGAGCAAGCCCTGGGCTGAGCACTGGTGCCCAGAAGCATAAACTACTGTTGTTGGTGGTGTCCTCTGATAACTGTCCTTCTGTCCTTCTTGAGTAGCCTGTCCTTTAGTCTCTCTTCCTGAAGCCTGACTTGTTACCCTCATCCCTCCTGTTTCACTTGGAGCGCTGGCCTTTCTGGCACTTCTTTTGATTTTCTGTCCCCACGTGCTTGTGTTGTCTCCTGTGTGATCCCTTCTCTGACCCGTGCTCCGCTTCCTCCCTGCTCACATGGATCATGGGCACAGAAAGAACTTGAGGCTTTGCCAGGGTTGTCCACACTGTGTTGTTTGCCTTCCCAGGTACGTTGCATTTGCTCACTTTAAAGGGAATGTTACTTCTCCTTCACTCCTGTTTTCTGCATTTTCCTTCTTTTTCCCTTCCCTCTGAAGAATTGCATTCCCCATGATGAGTGATCCACATTCACAAAATCATTACTCTTCCCGTCTCCCAGAGATGTTTTTCGTAGGTCAAAAACATCCAAAGGGTTTCTTCCCTGCTTTCCCAAGCAGATACCTAGATGGTAATCACAGGGAAATGACCTGTCCAGGAAGGGTTTCAAATGATCCTGTTCACCAAGCCTTTGCTTTCAGGTTTTGGTAGATGGTTGAAGGTCCCCAGTGTGATAGCACCCAAATTCTTTTTCACCACTTATCATTCCCTAAAGTTGGTGGTTTTGCCACAGTTTCCTTTCCTTCTACCTTTGGGGCTTCAGAGCATCCTTAGAAAACGATAATATTCCTCTCCATTCCCTTGTCCTCACCAAAGCAGCTCTTCTGTGTTGTGTTTCTGTCACAGCTGCTGAAGGGACAGCACAGCAGGGGAAGAAAAACCGCATTCCTGGCTCCAGGCTTGCTTCTGGCATTTGGATTTCTTAGTTTGTAGGAAACAATCTGCTGCCTCTCAAAATATTGCTAATTGTCGCCAGGGAGCCAGCCCACTTACCATCTGAAGGAGTGTGCTGAGTGTCACTCCAGAGATCCCACCATCCACCAGTGCCTTGTGGTTGCGGAACAGTGCCTGGAGAGGTCTTTTCCTTGTCTCTCCTTCACCCCACACGTCTGTTCCTCTGGTTCTGCAGTTGGTAGGAATGTTGGCACTTGCCAAATTCAGATCTTCTGCCTCTCGTGCCCTGTGGGGATGCTGGAGCATGTTGGGCCAGATCTCAACTGACTCTACAGAACAAGCACCCTCAGGTTAGAGCTGCTCCTTATCCAAGGGTGTTGAATTAGCCCTCAGCACCACAGCAGCCACATTTTAATTCCATGTTTACACCCTTCTTCTCCAGAAACCAGACTCTTGCAAGGTGTCTGGAGAAGATGAGAGTGAGGAGCTGCTGCTGGCAGGACAACACAATCTTCCAGCTGAACTGCAAGGCCAGGAGACAGTCCCTCCTCAGGCTGAGCAAGATGACAACTTCTACATCAAAATTGAGTTCAACAAGGTGAGACTCACACGAGGCTGGGCCAGTTGGTCTGAAGGACTGGAAGGGAAGGAGCTGGCAGGGACAATTCCTGTGCCTGGAGCTGGTGGGACACCTCCCTTAGAGGTGGTGTGAATCTGTCTGCTTGGGAGGACTGAGCTAGAGTCAGCCAGGGTGGAAAAGACCTTTAAGATCATTGAGTCCAACCATTCCCCAGCACTGCCAAGGCCATCACTAAGCCATGTCCTTGAGTGCCACATCTACGCTGTATGTGAACACTTCCAGGGATGGTGACTCCAGCACTGCCCTGGGCAGCCTGTTCCAATGCCTGAGCACCCTCTGGGGAAGGAATTGTTCCTCATCTCCAGTCTAAACCTCCCCTGGTGCAGCTTGAGTCTGTTTCCTCTTGTCCCATCCCTTGTTCCTTGGCAGCAGAACCCAACCCCCTCCTGGCTCCATCCTCCTGTCAGGCAGTTACAGAGAGCAATAAGGTCCCCCTGAGCTTTCTGTTTTTCAGACTAAGCCCCTGTCAGGTCCCTCGGCCATTCCCCATCACACTTGTGCTCCAGGCCCTGCACCAGCTCTGTTGTCCTTCTCTAGATGATCTTTTGTTTTCAGGCCAACTTCCCTTAAGTATCTGAGCGTGGGAGTGTTTGACTCTGATTACCTGGAGTACTTAACAAACACTAGGTGGTGATTAGTTCAACTAGGAGCAGAAATACTGGCTTGACAAATCTTGAGTAGAGGTGGAGGTTCATGCTGAGGTTTTGGCTGTTGAATTCCCCTGGCACTTTTGGTATTTATATTATCACTCTTTATGTTATTGTTTTTCGTGCACTTCACATAGTTCATAATGAAGCTTGGGATGAGGAGGTGTGAATCCATGTTTGAGCTGCACCAGAAACGTCCTCCAGGGATATCTTCAGAAGTGTTTAGACAAAACTTTGGTGCTCAGGCTCCTGCATGAAGATGTCACGTGCATTCTGTCTGTAGCCACCCAAAAAAGGCACAGCTCCCGGGTGGGTTACTCCACTGAGAACTGTAGGAACCATGTGTAGATGACTCACTTCCAGTGAGAAGTGTACTGCTGAGTGAAGAAACTTGACTGTAAAAATGCTGACGCTGCTCTCTTACATCATCTTCCAGTTCTGTGATGGACCAGTGAAGGAGTCGAGCTTGCCTGAGCCATCCCAGGGGTTGCACACTGATCACCGTGTTCCCCTCGTCCTCTGGCCTGGGGTAGACCAAGAGGAAACCAAGAAGCAGGTTTGTCCACTGGAGCCAAGTCCTCATTATTTCATTTCAGGACTCAGAGGTGTTGAGCCCCAGGGGATGTTGTCAGCTCAAGAGCAGCCTCAATGTCTGGAGCATCTTCCTGGGTTTAAGTTTGTCTGTGCTGATGGTGCCTCAGGTCTTGGGCAAACCTACCAGGTTCTTTTTAAGGTCCATCATGACCACAAGTGCAACTATTACATCCTCCTCCTGCAAGATCTGGGGTCTGAATGACACTGAAGGGCTGGAGGAGAAACTTTTTGCCTAGCAAAACAAAGGTGTTCTTTTCTGTGGCTGCAGGAGTGGAGAGAAGCTGCCAAAAATGCCCAGAAAAAGAGAAAGGAGCAAACCCCACTTTATCTTGGTTGGGAATACTGCTGGGAGTATGAAGCTTTCTCCCATCTCAGCACCTAACAGGCCTGATGCTGGGTGCGTGCATGTGGCCATGAGCTCATGCTTATCCAGGCGATGCAGAGAGACAATGTGTATCTTGGATGCCTAAAGGAAATGATTGTCTTTTCCTGCTTCCCTCTTGACATGAGGAGGAACACTGCCCTCTTCTTCTGTGGGCTTTCTTGCAGCTTTACAGCACAAAACTCAAAAGGACTTTGGACAAATTGCGTTTTGTTTTTGTTCTTTATGTGCATTCTCCAACAAGCTGCCCCCAGATCTGCCTTCTAGATGGTGGTGGCAGCTGGGGCTCCTCAAGCTGCTCCTTCCCCCCTGGCAGTTCCCTCTGCCCTTTGCTTTTTATCTCTCTGACTCTGATCCACCCAGAGATAACTGGTTTTGCAGCACTCCCTCTTGTGTGTTTTATTCCCATCCAGCTTTCTTCACTTGCAGCCTGGTGATCTCTCCTGCTCCTTTATCTCTAGCTGTATGGGGCTCTCACTGCTGAGGTGGACAAACCCAGCCCCAAACTTTTGGTGTTGATGAGGAAATCTTAGACTTTGTGGCATCATGGAGATCAGACTAGCTGTATACTGACTGCAGGTGGGAGGCTTTGGTGTGAGCTTTAGGCAGGAGTTAAGCCAAAGCCCAGACATTGAACCTCTTCTTGAGCTCAGTATGGGAGTTGTTTCCTGCAGGGCATTGGATTTGTCTCAGCAGTGACTTTGCCACCTCTGTGATTCTCCTGCAGGCAATGGGTCCAGCTTGGTGCTATGTGTCCCTGTTTATTTGGAGATAAAGCTTCCAGTGAACCACAGAGAACCAGTGGTCCCCAGTGGACCAAAACTCTTGGACTATAGCTTGTAGTGCTCTGGTGAAGTGGGTTGAAATGGGAACCAGGTGTTTTACCTGCAGGAATATGGGAGTTCAGGATGTTGTCAGGTGGCAGAGCTTCCATCCGAAGGCATTGTCAGCTGCGGGATGCTGGTACAAAGCTCTCTGATGCTCCAAGATGTCTTGGTCCTCCTCTCCCACCATCTTTCCAGCTTCTAAGTCCTGGGGCATGTCCACCAGGAAGTGTTTGAGGCTTTCTTGGGGAAGGAGCAAGGTTTCTGTCTGCTCCAGGACCAAACTGAGAGCTGGTATCACTCAGTATCAACCCCAGATGTCCTCCTCAAAGGTGCCTGTTCTTCCCTGCAGCGGCAGGATGAGTACCTGCGGTACAGGCGCCTCTTCATGAGCATTGAGCGTGAGCAAGTGAAGGAACAGCAGAGGCAGAAAGAGAGGCAGAAGAGAATTACCAGGTGAGTACATGCAGATGAGCTCCAGCCCTTTGGTATTCCTTACTTTATCCCAGGGCCCTTCCTAAGGCTGGAAAGGTCTCCTGTACTTGTCTGGCTTATCCCTGGGTGTATTGTGCCCAATCTGTTAACCCTGGGGTAGGATTCACTTGACCAACCCCTCCAAGAGATACCTTTGGGCCTGTCTTGTGCTGAGTTTGTGCTGTGAGCTTGTGGGCCTCTCTTGTGCTGTGTGTCAGTCCTTCAGAGATCTTCAGCACTTCTTCACCCACTGAGTCCCAGTGCTGGAGTAGGGAGCCGAAACATCAGGCTGGGAGTGTTGCATCTCACCAAACTGTGGCTCCTTGGAACAGATTCCAAAAGCCTGTACTGCAGTCCAGGTTTAGAACTTTGGGGTGAGGTCACATTGTTAAACTGATCTTATCTATGTGGGTTTTAATATCAGACCCTTCACCCTCACAGCTATAAATGTGTATAGTGTAATAAAAGGATTTACTAGCACTTGTTCCAGAGTTGAAACCTTGGTGTGAAAGTCTCAGCACTTGGTTTGGTGGTTTAATCATCTTCTCCCTTACCAGGGGTTTGTTAAGGAGGAGCTCTGCAAACTCAAAACAGGAATGAGACTTGGAATGTTTTCCCTCTGTTTGCTCTAAAACAAACTGATGTAGGTCTGACTGTGTCTATCCCCAGCTCTGCAGTGGGCAGGTTTTGTGGGAGCACTGGGGGCAGGATTCCCATGGTCACTTTGCACAGAGGAATTGCCAGGCTGAAGGATACAGCTCCTCCAGCCACATTCCTGACATGTAACTTGGAGATTCAGAGGCCTTTTCCTGCCCTGGGAGCGCTGGTGAGACACCAGGGACTTCCTAGTCATGGTGATAGCCTTTTATGTTCTATCTCTTCCCCAGTTGCAGGGGAGCTGCAGGCTGCAGAGGTGGCTTTGTACTTAGTATAAAGCCTTAAGTTGGCCTTGGCCTGTATTTCTATAGGAGCAGATTTACGGTGCTGTGGCTCAGGCTCTTAATATAAAATACATTTTTGAGTGTAGAACTTGTCTGGAGCAGTTTGGCTTTGGTGTTTTCCTTCTGGATGGAAGGATTTGACCTCCCCATTGCAGCAACATCCAAAGTGTCTCATTTGATCACATTTTTGGCTCCTACCCAGCCTGGATCTTTTATTTTTAAGTCCTTTTGGCAGGGATCAGCCCGTGACATGTTATTGCATTTGCAGGAATGAAATGGCAGATGCTTCAGTTTAAAGTCTTTGTGCTTCATAATTGGCGCTTTATCAAGGGAACGTGCTTTGTGCTTGGTGTGTGACTTCCACAACCCAAACTCCACTGGAAGGGCTGTGTAGGTGCAAGGAGACAGAAGCAGAGGGAGATTTGGTTAAAAATGCCTGTTTTGGAATAGATGTGGGATCCTTGGAGTGTCTCTGATGTACCCAGTGGTCTTCTGCAGCCCTGGAAGGTGCAAGGACAGGTTGTGATAAGACCCAAGCTGTCCATGATCAAAGTCGAAAGTGGGGAAGTGGAGCTGTTGGTCCTTTCTGGTGGCTGTTAGAGCCCAGGCACTGCTCTTGGTTTCAAGAGGACAGAAGAGCAGCTCTTTTGGGGAACTGCAGGTGGCACTTCCAACAGGAGCACATGGGAACAGGATGCAGGAGGGAGCTGGAAGGAGAAGTCTGTGGTGGGGAGAAAACCAGCAGGCAGGAGGAGGTCAAGGGCAGGAGAGCATTCCCAGGCTGGTGTTTCTATGGTGGGGACGAAAGGAGGCCCCCCTGCAGCCCTGTGTCCAGCTCTGGGGCAGCAACACAAGAGGGATGTGGAGCTGCCCAGAGAACAACTGGCAGAAAATGGAGGCTGGATGGGGAAGCTCCTTCTCTAAGCACGTGTGTGCTTAATCCTGCAGGATTAAGAGCAAGAAGGAGAACCAGCGGCGGGCAGCAGAGCAGATGATGCAGGAGGTGCCTGAGCAGCAGGAACCCTCCTCAGGTGCAGCAGCCTCTGAGAGCCTGGCCCAGCTTGAGCTGGAGGAGAGGAGAGTGAGGAAGGTGAAGGAGAAACAGCAGCGAGATAAGGAGTCCATGAGGTATGGCCAGGTCCCCTATCCCTGCAGTGAGCCGGGTGTTACTTCCAAATGTGAATGTTTCACCCCTTGCAGGTACATGGAAGCTCTCAGAGCCCAGATGAGGGAGAAGATCAAACTCTCCAACATTGATTTGCCCCCACTGTGCTCCTGTGGGTCTGATTTCTGGGATTCCCACCCGGATACCTGTGCCAACAACTGTGTCTTCTACAGAAACCACCAAGGTAGGAGCTCTTGCCTCTGGAGGGATCCCTTATTATACTTTGTTCAGCAATAGTGCTTGAATCTGGAGCAGAGCTTGGAGAAACACCTGCAGAGCAACTGGGAGTTGTTTTATAGTGGGGGTAATGGAGAAACAAGCCTTTGTATAAATTCTTTGGCTTTCATAGAATCATGGAATGGTTTGGGTTGGATGGGACCTTAAAGCTCATCCAGTTCCAACCCCCTGCCGTGGGTAGGGACACCTTCCACTAGAGCAGGTTGCTCCAAGTGGGATTTCATCAGAGCAGAGTAGAGGGGCAGAATTCCCTCCCTTGACCTGCTGCTCACACTTTCATAGTGCTTCCCACTTCAGAACATCCAAGCAAGCCTGTGTAAAACTGCAGGCACATGGAATTACCTTAACACCAGTTCTTCTCCCTGAGGTTTGCAGTAAAGGGCTGAAGCTGAGCCCAGTTTTGGGCCACAAGAAGTGCTTCTATCTCCTAACGCTGGTTCTGTGCCTCTCTCCTCTCAGCCTACAGCCGTGCTCTGCGGTCTCTCATCTCATCTTGTGACCCCCTGGATGGGAGCTCCTCGACCACACTCCCGCTCCGAGGCCTGGCCACGCTCTGCACTCGCTCAGGGAGGCGTCTGTGATGGGAGAGCTCCATGTGTGTGTCCCCTCCATGGATACAGCCCTGTGTGTGTCCTCATCCATGTATCTCGGTGACTGTTAGAAGCAGGGAGCAGGGAGGGCTGTGCCCTCTCCTGCCTGTCCTTCTGGCCTGTGCCTTCTCACTTGGGGTGAGGTTTTTGGCTCCATGCACGTGGGGACAGTGGCTGGAGTGAAGGAGCTCAGTTTAGGGGCTGGCACTGGATTTGTAGCTTGGGAATAAACTGGTTTTAAGGGTTTGTCTCCTTTGGAGTGTGAAATAAGGAGAAAGTAGACACCTGGGATCAGTATCTGTTGGGGTTGTTCCTTCCCGTTCCATTCCCCTGTGGCCTCATGCTCCAGAGCTAGCTATTTACTGTTCCTTTCCTTTTTTCCACATGAGGACCTCATCCACTAGCTTCTGTTTTACTCTAGAAAGGACCTTTTTCCTAGGAACAGTCTGTAACTTCCAGGTGAGCACTCTTTGCCAGGACCAAGATTCTTTTGGACCAGAGATGTCACCATGTTGGGTAACATGTTCTTGGTTGCACCATAACCCATCATGAATACCTTCTGCTTGCTGCCACCTCTCCAATATTAACCACGGCAGGAAGGGCAGGCAGCCGAGCATGTCGCAGCCTTCCTTCTCCCCATTCATCCCTCTGGGATCCCACTCCTGAGGGATCAGGAGGCACCAGGCCAGCGGATGCTCCTCTTCCCCCCTGGACAATCATTCACGACTCTTCCACAGTGGCTGATGCTGTTTATTAACTGCCTTTTGCGTCAGGAGAAGACCCTATGGAGCTAATGCAGGGTGCTGAGGGACCTGGGCAGGATCTGGCCTGGGAGGTTTCCATGTGTGCTAGGATCAGGGAAGTGAAAGGCTGAAGTTGCAGCTGTGGGTTTTAACTGATTTCAGGGCAGGGCCTTGTTCCCGAGCAGCCAAGGACAAGTGTTGCCTTGGCAGGGCCCCAGGCGCTTGCTCACACCCTGGTCACCCCTGTTCCCACCACTCCAGAGGGGCTCCCAAAGGGCTTTTGGCTGGTTTAGGGTTAGTGCTTAGCTCAGAGGACTGATGGCTGAGTAAAGCCCTTGCTGCTCCTCAGCCTCACAATCAGCCCATTGCTCGGCTCCATTCTAGTGGATCCCTTGGTGGAGGGGGGGATTTCTCCTGATGTGAAACCCAAGGGGAGGGAGAGCAGGACCCCTAAATCCCTGCAGTTAAATCCCAAAGCAAGGCTGGGCAGGCTTAGCTGAAACCGGGGCACAGAAGGTGATGGGGCAGTGAGCGGAAAGGTTAAACCCGACCTTTTCCACTGGCAGAAACAGCATCCAGAGGGAATCCCGGCGCCCTGGGGTGGGGACTGGCATCCTCCTGCCCCACTCCCGGGTTTCGCTGTTCTCATCTTGGAGCCGGGTTTTCGCCTCTGCCGGAGCCGGCGGCCGAAGAGGGAAGCTTCGGGGAGGCCGGGGCTGGAGGCGAGGCCGGGGCGGGCCCGGGGCCGGGGCGGGGAGCGACGGCCCCACCGGGCGGTGAAAAGCAGCCGCGGGGGCACCGGGAGCTCCGCTGCCGCCATGAGGGCAGCGCTGGCCCCCGGCATCCGTCTGCTGCGCGCCCTGCCCCGGGACAGCCGGTGAGAGCCGCGCGGGGACGGGAGCGGGACGGGAGCGGGATGGGGACCAGCCCTGCATCCCGGTTACTGCCCTGGGGACAGGGACCGGGGTGGGGACCAGCCCTGGACAGGGGATCACGCTCCTGGAGGCTGACACCGGCTCTGGACCGGCACCGGAATGAGGACTGGAACCGGGATAGGGACCGGCCCTGAAACCGGGGCATTGGTACCGGGATGGGCACCAGCCTTGGACCCAGGTTCGCTCTTCCGGGGACAGGCACCAAGACCAGGACCTGGGGTCACTGGGAGAGGGACCGGCACTGGGATAGCAACGAGCCCTGGATCCCCAGTTAGTTTCTTGGGGACAGGGACCGGTCCTGCACAGGGGATCACCCTCCTGCAGAGAGGCACCGGGACTGGGACCGGAACCGGGATGGGAGCCAGCCCTGGACCCCGGGTCACTCTTCCGGGGACCGGCTCCAGGGTGGGCGCAGACACCGGGACAGGGAGCGACCCTGGACCGGGGACCAGCACCGGGATAGTGACTAAGCAGGACTGGAACCAGCCCTGGTCTCTGGGTCACTCTCTTGGGGACCAGGACTGATCCTGGATCGGGAAACTGGCCCTGGGATAGGGACTGGAACCAGGACAGGGACCGGCCCTAGGCTCTTTTGTGAAGTGAAACTGCACAGAGGAGCAGGATGGGTTAAAACCACAAAGAAAAGGCTTTTGGTTGATTTTGTTCTCAACTTGGAGCAATCCCGTGACTTCTGGGTGCTGCAGCTGCCCCTGACCTCCTGCCTCCTCTGCTCTACTCTGAGTGCAGGATGAAGCCCTTGGCAATGCTCACCACACTCCAAAGTGTGTTGGATCCTATTTGGGATTTTCCGGGCTTTATCCACCAGCTTTGCTGGGAGCAGCAGCCCCATCCTCAAGCCCCACTTTCCCTCTAATTTCCCTCATTTTCCTGCACTTAATTCAAACATCCCTGTCCCCATCCTTGTGTCCCCATCCCTGACCTCTGCTCGCTCTATCCTGTAGGTACCGTGGCCTGACACTGGTGCTGACCTTCCTCTGCTACACCAGCTACCACCTCTCCCGAAAGCCCATCAGCATCGTCAAGGTTGGCTCCAACCTCACCCCAGCTGTAGGGAGAAGGGGTGTGGGTGTCCCTAAGCATCCCAAGTCCCACTTTTTCTCTCCCCACAGAGCCAGCTGCACCCCAATTGCTCTGCTTTGGACCCAAACCCCCACAACAAATCCAACAGCAGCACGTGGTGCAGTTGGGCACCCTTTGGTAAGGCTGAGCCCTCACCAGTCACCCCCAAATCTACCCCATGGCAGCCAGAATGGGGTCCCCCATGCCCTAAGCTGCGTGGTGGCTGGAGGCTCAGGCTCCTCCTTAGGCACCACGAGGGAATGAAGCAGCCAGTGGCAAAATCAGGGCTGGGAAGGGACCTGGTCATGCTCCTGGGAGGAGGGTCTTGGGAATGGGGATGCGGATGAGCCAGTAGCCATGGGAAGGGAAAACCTCTGGGACCACACTGATGTGTCCCTAATGTTTCTATTCCAGATGGGGACAACTACAAGGAGCTTTTTGGAGCACTGGATAATGCCTTCCTGGTGGCCTATGCCATCGGGATGTTTATCAGGTACCCAGGTCCTTTGCACCCTTTTCCTTCCACATACCAGTCTGCCAGGAAACTGGTTTCCATCGGGATGGGGAAAGCAGCACCCAGCAGGCTGCTGGGGTTGGCTTGGGATTCAGGCCCTGGCTCGGTGTGATAACACATCACCTGTGACAGCTCCCGTCCATGCTCTTCCCTGTCTCCACAGTGGGATTTTCGGGGAGCGCCTCCCCCTGCGCTACTACCTGTCAGGGGGGATGGTGCTGAGCGGGCTCTTCACTGCACTCTTCGGCCTCGGGTACTTCTGGGACATCCACGTCCTCTGGTACTTCATTGTCATGCAGGTACATCCGCACTGGAGGACCTGGATTTTACCACCACGGCCTCATCCCGCCTTTTCTGTGGCTTTTGGGCATCAGGGTGCCCCAATTTCCAATAGGGAATGCTGGGCATTTCCACTCCCATCAAACCTGGTCACACATGGCGTGGGAGCTGAAACCACCGGGTGTGCAAGTCCCGCTGAGCAGGGCGGGCACCCAGTTTGGCAACACCAGCCGCTCCCAGCGGAGCCACAGGAGCAATGCACATGGCTCCGGGATTGCTCCAGTGGGAAGAGAACCCCTAAACCAAGCTTTTCCTCGACAGTTTTGGGTTGGGGGTGGCTATTTTTGAGCCCAAATTGGGATCCATGGATCAAGTCGGGTGTCCGACGGTGCTGTGTGAGGCTGCCTCTTCTTTTCCCAGGTCTGCAATGGGCTGGTGCAGACGACAGGCTGGCCTTCTGTCGTGGCATGTGTTGGGAATTGGTTTGGGAAGGGAAAGTAAGTGTTTATCCAGTGTGTCCCTCCCCAGTCCTGGTCCCTGTGGGCCACAGCAGCCGTCCCAGTGATCCCAACCCAGCTGTGTCCCCACAGGAGAGGTTTGATCATGGGCATCTGGAACTCGCACACCTCCGTCGGGAACATCTTGGGGTCGCTCATCGCTGGTGTCTGGGTTTCCTCAGCCTGGGGCTTATCCTTCATCATGCCTGGCATTATCATCGCTGCTGTGGGCATCATCTGCTTCTTCTTCCTTGTGGAGTGTGAGTGGCCTGATTCAGGGCGCAGCAGAGGACCAGTGTAACACCAAAACCAGCAGGACCACAGTGATTCACCTTCATAGAATCATATTATAGCATGGTCTGTGTTGGAAGGGACCTTAAAGCTCATCCGGTTCCAACCCCTGCCATAGGCAGGGACACCTTCCACTAGAGCAGCTTGCTCCAAGCCCCATCCAACCTGGCCTTGAACGCTGCCAGGGATGGGGCATTTATCACTTCTTTGGGTAACCTGTTCCAGTGCCTCATCACCCTTAACCACCACCTCACCACCACCTTGCCCATCTCCAAGTGTTTTTTGGCAACCCCAAATCCTTATTTCCGGCCTGTGGCAAGCAGGGATAGGGACCTGACCACCATGGGGATGCTCAGCATCCTTTGGGATAATCCAGGCAGGCTCAGCCCCTGTACTGGTCACTCCTCTCAGCCTTTCTATAAAACATTTGGGAAGCACTTTGGATTTCACCAGGGTTTTTGCTGCTGGGAGATGCAGCTCCGTGTTTCTCCCTGCAGCTTGGGGGCTGGTCCAGGCTCACATGGGATCTCCTTTCTCTCTGCAGATCCTGAAGACGTCGGCTGCAGTCCACCTCTGCATCACGTGAGTTGAACTGATTCCCAAGGGGCTTGTTCTGGGCTGGGTGGTTGCTCAGTTTATGGTGAATCCTAGCCAGGAATCAGGTCATAACTCCAGAAATTAGAGCAGTGTTCGGTTATCACAGAGGATGCTTGTTGCTATTCCAGTGTGAGCATCCTCTGGGTCACATCCTGGCAACGAATCTGATGTTTCAGCCCCTTCCAGCAATGAGAGCCACATTTCCTACTAATGGCTTGCTTCTAGATGGCCTCTGATGAGGAGGATGCTGGAGGAGTGACCACCAATGGGAAGGATCCTGAAGCGGCCACCTCCAACGAGGGGTCACTGAGCACCTCAGGCCAGAGCAGCACAGATCGCACTGACAGCCCCAAGGAGGCAGCTGAGGCGCCCGAAGCCATCAGCTTCCTTGGGGCACTCCGGATACCTGTGAGTTGTGGGATACCCCTTAGATCCTGATGGGGATGGAGGCAAAGCCAGGGCAGGAAATCAGGGGGAAACCTGGTTCCATCTGGAGGATGCTGGGAGAAGGAGGCTCTTCTGATGTCTTCTGCTCTCCTCCCAGGGTGTGGTGGAGTTCTCCCTTTGCCTGCTCTTTGCCAAGCTGGTGAGCTACACCTTCCTCTACTGGCTGCCCCTCTATATTGTGAACGTCGGTGAGTTTTGGGGTTGGTGACTTGGGACTGAGCCTGGCAAATGGAGCATCTCCTCATCCCTCTCCTATTCCTTGCAGCTCATTTTGGTGCCAAGGAAGCCGGGGACCTGTCAACCCTCTTTGATGTCGGGGGCATTTTAGGTTTGTCACGTACCTGGGTGGAGGGGGTGGATCAGGGATGATTTGGGGACAACCATGATCTTGACTGGAAGCCCCCTCCACAGGTAACACCATCCCTGGAGCACTGCAGTAAGGTTTATTCAGCATTCATAGCACCCAGCAGGCACTGAACACCCTGTGCTTTTATTTTGCCATCCAGATGCCCATCACAACATCTTTCCTTGGGTCTTGCTTGCTCAGACTCAAATTCTTCTTAGATAACACGTTTAGCAAGTGTGGAGGAAACCAGAGCTGGGTGTAGGTGTAGGGAAACCATCTGCAGGGAGAAAGCCACAGGGATGAATCAAAGCTGTTCACTCTGATATTATTCTCTGTAACCTTGGGGACATGAAGAAGCTGGGGGATGAAGGAGCATCCTGTTGCAGCATCCCAATGGATTTGCTGCTGGGGTGCTGTGACTGACCCATGACTCCTCCTTGCAGGGGGTATCTTTGCCGGCCTCATCTCTGACTACACAGGGGGCAGAGCCACCACGTGCTGCGTGATGCTGATCCTCGCCGCTCCCGTGGTGCGTTGTCACGCGGGGTTAAAACCCAGTCACGAGGGTCTCCTCTGCTCCGGCTCCTTTGAGTCACAGCCTGTTCCTCTTGTGATCCTCTTCCCAAGCCCGGGATAAGCTGGTCACGCGCTCGGCTGAGTTAAGAGCTGGGATAGATCCACATGCCCAGATGTTCCACAACTGAGGGCTGGGAGAGGATTGCAGAGCCCACCAGCTTAAACAACCCCTCTGGGGTTCTTCTTTTCCTCCACCCTGCTGTAACCCTGCTCTGGTTTAAAGACTTTAGGGGCTCCCACTCAGTCTGTCCAGCTTTTGCCTCTTTGCTTTGCATCCCAAAAGCCCCCATGCTGCCAGCCTCATGCTTGGATGTCCTTCCCAAGCACCTGCATGGAGTTCATTTGGCTTTGCTGCCACAAACCCGAGGCTAATGAGCTGTAATCCAAGCCTGGCTGGCTCTGGGTTCTGACCCTCTCCCTGCTGAAAAGCCGAGAGGCTGCATCCCATCCGCATCCCCACTAACTCACTGCCTGGCTCCAGCCAGCACGGACGTGCACGAGCCTCCTTGGGCCATAAATCGTGGCAGCACCTCCGTTTGCCAGCGGCCAGGAATTCCATCTGGCAGGCAGACAGTGGGATATGGAGCCAAGGGCGCACTCGGCTCCCTAATCCTGGCTGGGGTCTGTAAAGCTTGTCACCAGTGATAATTCAGGTCCCTACCTTCTCTGTCCTGTCCCTGGGTGCTGCTGAATAGAAGACAGCTGGAATAGCTATAACTGGTTCATCTTATGGCTCTTTTCCAGCTGTTCCTGTATAACCATGTTGGCCAGAACGGCATTGGCACATCCATAGGTAAGGAGCTCCTTGGCACATCCCACAAAGGGATGGGAGATGCTGTGGAATCACCTCCCTTCATTTCTCTTCTTGACCTGGGCTCCTGTTCTGGGATCTGTGGAGGATGGTGCTGGGTGGGAGCACAGAGAAATGCAGGATGGATGCATGGGGCCCAGCGTCCTGCTGCTCCCTGCACTGCCAGGTCTGATCTCTTCCTCTTCCGCGCAGCGATGCTGATTGTCTGCGGCGCTCTGGTTAACGGGCCCTACGCGCTCATCACCACGGCCGTGTCAGCAGACTTGGTGAGAGGCACATCTCAGACCCCCCAAAAGCTGCTCCCTCTTTCCCAGAGGGATGGTGGCTGGGATTTCTGCATTCCAGCTTTGCTGTGCAAAGCTAAGCGCAGCGGAGGAAGGCAGGACTGGCACACCTTGCACTCTGGTCCCTACCTTCCCTGAAACACGGCTGTTTTCCTATGCTCTTTCACGTTGGCTGTGTGACTCTGCTTCAGCCCTGCGGCATCTTCCTCTGCATCTCCCACTGTCAGTGGGCAAATGCACTGTGAAACCACCTGGGATTCCTGCCTGCTGCTGGGAATCCAGGTTTTGCCTTGGTTTGGCTGCAGGCAGCGTCTGAGTTCGGTCTCCCATCCATGGCTGGGTCTGCCACATGGAGATTGCTGCCTGGGATGTGAACCAGCCTCACACTAGGACGCTGGCTGCAGACCCTGAAGCTGCTTTTTCTCCTGATGTTTTACTTCTTCATCCCAACAGGGAACCCATGAGTCTCTCAAAGGCAATGCCAAAGCCCTTTCTACTGTCACAGCCATCATTGATGGCACAGGATCCATAGGTGTGTATGGCTGGTGAGTGCTGTGGTCCCCTCTCCCATGCACAGGACATCTAACATGGCTCGTGTGCCCTCACAGGTGCTGCACTAGGGCCACTGCTTGCAGGGCTCATCTCCCCCACGGGCTGGAATAACGTGTTCTACATGTTGATAGCAGCGGATGTCTTGGCTTGCCTGGTAGGTCCCTCCTCAGCAGGAGCTACTTTGCTACCCTGGGTGTTTGAGGCCTCCGTTTTAGCCACCATGCTTGCTGGTGGAGGGCAGGGATGGTCCTTGAGACAGCCAGGCACAGGGCAACCTGCATCAGAGAGTGATTTGGAGCAGTCCTGGGGAGAAGGACCTGGGGGTGTTGGGTGAGGAGCAGCTCCCCATGACCCAGCTTCAGTGTGTGCTTGAGCCCAGAACTCCCCCATCTGCTGGGCTGCACCCCCAGAGCGTGAGCAACAGGTCAGGGAGGGGATCCTGACCCTCTGCTGTGCTCTGGTGAGACCCCCCCTGAAGTCCTGATCCAGCTCTGGGGCAGCAGCACAAGAGGGACGTGGAGCTGTTGGAGCGAGGCCAGAGGAGGCAATGGAGATGCTGCGAGGGCTGGAGCAGCTCTGCTCTGGAGCCAGGCTGAGAGAGCTGGGCTGGGTCAGCCTGGAGAAGAGAAGACTCCTGAAGGGGAGACCTGAGAGCAGCTCCAGTGCCTGAAGGGGCTGCAGGAAACCTGGAGAGGGGCTTGGGACAAGGGATGTAGGGACAGGCCAAGGGGAATGGCTTTAACCTGCCAGAGGGGAGACTGAGATGAGCTCTTAGGCAGAAGCTCTTCCCTGTGAGGGTGCTGAGGCGCTGGCACAGGGTGCCCAGAGAAGCTGTGGCTGCCCCATCCGTGGCAGTGTTCAAGGGCAGGTTGGACACAGGGGCTTGGAGTCTGTGTCCAAACCTTTGCCTCTGTTTGCTTGGCTTTCCCCAGCGACCTCCTCCGTACAGGGTGTCAGTTCATGGGATCTTCCCTAGGAAGAGCCTTAAAATTTCTCTCCTGGTTGGGAACCCTCACCCCCCCATGGTGACCTGACCCTGCACCTTTCCTCCTGCAGCTCCTCACTCGCGTGGTGGTCAAAGAGGTCCGCGGGTGGTGTGGCTACATGGCGAGGAAGAGAGGGTACGTACGTGCCACCCCGGGGCAGCCTCTGCTCCTGCAACCCCAAAACAGGGCACCGGTACCGCTCCGAAAAGACATTTGCCATCCCTTGCTGTCCCTGCTGCACCTTCACGTGGGCATTGCCGGGTCGCCTGCCCATGTTAGGCACAGAGAGACATTTTCACCTTGATCCAGGGCAGCCCCCGGGGGGGTTTCAGCCCTCTCCTGGTGCTAAACACGCGGTCCTTGTGTCTTTGTAGCTCTAGTGTGCAGCTGACAGAGTCAGTGCTGGATGGGAAGTAGCTCGGTGTGAGTATTTCTGCTCAAGCCCTGAGGATTAAATGCAACCTCAAGCCTGATTCGCCCCGCTTTCGAGTTCTGCTTGGCAGGCTCAGCCTCCAACAGCCGCTCTGCTGATAATCAAAGGGTTGAGATCAGGATTTGGGAATCAAATGGTGATGGCCAGGGAAGAGAGTGTGGATGGGTGGGTGGGCAGCGTGTCCTTGTCTCCGGCTGATAAGATGTTAGCCATGGTGCCTGATTGATTGGCATTGATTAAACACACTTGAAACAGCCAAATCTATAGGCTGCCCTGCCCACCCAAGCTAATGAGCTTGATTACACACAGCCTGGGCTCGCTAATCAAAGCCATGGCCAAATCACTGCAGCAAGGGTATAAATACCTCCAAATCAGCACTGCCCTGCCTCTGATTGCCACTGGAGCTTCAAGCACTTCCAGTCCTGGCAGTGGGGCACCAGACCCCGTACTCCTCATGAACCTTTGGCCCTTATATCTTGTGTTTGCAGGTGAAAAGACCATTAGTGTGGGTCTTGCGCTGTGGTAAGTGCAGCCCAAATCTCCTTCTCAGGGCTGTTGGCTCCACTTCCTTGTGCCAGGGCTGGCTGGGGTGAGGACTGTCCTGGCTGTGCCAAAACCGGGGTGTTGTTGTGAGCTGTGGGAAGCAGCTGGCTTGGTTGTGGAATACTTCAGCACCCTCAAGGGCTTTGGGAGCAGCTTGTGGAGAGGAGGCGCAGGTGCTGGGGGTGTTTTGTGCGGAGCTTTGGTCAGAGGTGGAGCGGTGGCTGCATCTTCTCCTGGATCCTGTTTCTCCTCCGGGCTTGCAGACGGGCCGGGGTTCACTTTGCATCCCTCCAGCAGCACGGTCCCAGCGCCTGCCGGGGGGGCTCCCACCACGCTCAGCCCCTCGCTTCTCTCCATGCAGGTTTAAGGAGTTCTGATGGATCCCTGTGAGCCGCCTGGAGGGAGCAGAGAGGCTGGAGCACGCCAGGAGCGTGTTCCTCTCGGCAGAGCCGAGGCATAGCCCCATGGGCTCCTGCTGCTGCCCTGGGCTGGCTTCGGAGAGAGGAGCAGTCCCTGGGCCTCGGCACAGCAGCTTTTTGGGCTGAATCTTCACTTTTGGCCATTTTATTAATAAAAATGTGCAAAGCCTGTGTTGCCGTGTCTCGGCAGGGCTCGGCCAGGTCTGTGTCAACTTGGGGGTGGTGGTTGTGCCCCTCTTCATGCTTTTCTCCTCTCCTTTGGAAGCCTGCCTCATCCCTGTGCTTGGTATTTCAGGTTATTGGACCAGGAGGATGGCTCCAAAGCACTTAAGGCACTGTCTTGACTCAAAGTGCTGCTTATTCTACATAGAGAACATCCCCAAGGTTTTCATTGAGCCCAAATTCAGCTGCTTTTACTCCTTGTCTCAACCCACCACTTGGACCAAGAGGGCAAGATGGGGGCAAGAGACCCCATCATCACTCAATAAGGGACAGAGCCAGATGTGTGCTCATGGGTTGGGGGCAGCTTTGGTGTGTGAGGAGTTGGGGTATTCACAAGCCATGAGGTGAGTTTCTCAGCCTGGTCACCATTAAGGGAATGTGCCAGGCTCCAGCTCCCCACCAAGAGGGGAGCTGCCTGGTATAAATCTGAGCTCTAATTGACTTCACCTCCTTGGATCTTAAAACATCTGGGCCTGATGTGATTTTTATTAAGTGCTGATTTCATCGGCAAAGGGGACAGGCAGCTTGGAGAGTGGCAGCCACACGTTCGAGGTGGCTAGGTGGTGATACCAGGCCTTTGGTCCCCCCCATGCTGACCAAAGATGCTCAATGAGGCTGGTTGCCTGCAGGTCCCTATGGAGAAAGCAGGAAAAATGGTCAGGGCAGGCAGAGAAAACCAAAATCCCCAATGACCCTTTTTTCCCAGGAAAATAACACCCCTCCCAAGGCAAACCCTAATGGAGCCATAGGGAGAGGTGTCACGACAGGGTCTGTCCTCAGCAGATGATCCCGTGGAGCCACACAGCATCCTGAGGCCACGTGGCCTCTGATGGCACAAGGACCAAGGACCAGGAGGGATGCTGGGCTGAGCTCTCAGTTACCTTCACCTCATGGAGGAGGATGTTGGGGGGGGTTGGAATGTATTTTGAAGCAACAAATCCCACCAGCCCTGACATACACAGCAAAAAGCAACTTGCTTGGGGGTTGTTTTCCCTTTATTCCTTCCCCCCCCCCCCCCACCTCCTCTCTGTTCATTTTTTTGGGATAAATTTAGGCCTGGGCCACATCCCGCTCGTGCTTGGAAAGTGTGAGCAGCGCTTGGCTGGGAGCGAGGAGAGAGGGCAGACAGCCCACAGCGGCTTTCAGCTTCCAACCTGGACCAAATGCCAAAGAAAACCCCAGCTCTCGCTGAGATTCAAGAGACCGAGGGGTGGGCAGGAAGGCAGAGGGGGGATCCCCCGGGTTTGCTCCAGCCAAAGGGCTGTTTAAACCCTGCCAGGCTCCTTTGGGAGGTGTCTGCAAGGCTCACCTCGTCTCCTTCCTTTGCTGGAGAAGGGGCCGCTGCTTCCCCCCCACCGCAGCCTCTTGACACAGCATCCTGTGTGTGAACCGGGAGAGCACCATGACGCTGCTGCCCCATGGATGGCAACAAGAATCACACCTAAAATGGGCTCATTATGAGCCTGTCTGGTAAAAACAGAGCCTGGGCGACACCACGGCCCCCCAGCCTTGGCAAGGGGGCTGCACACATCCTGAAGGAATGCCGTTGATCCGCCGGGATGCTGTGAAGGCGAGGAGGTGGCTGGAGCACATAATGACCTACGCAAGGAGCAGCCGGCTAACGCTGAAGGGCTTTTTAATTAGCAGCCAAAGGCAAAGCGGGATTCAGCAGCGGGAAGCTGAAGTCAGCAAAGTCAAGGTGGAAATAAGAGGCCAGCTTTTACCAGAGAGGGTAATTAAGTGCCGGCAGAGCGCAGCGTGAGGAATTGCCGTCATTCAAGGATTCAGCTCCTTAAATCAAGGAGTTTCCCCTGCAGACGCTTGTGCTCCCTCCATCCCACCCTGGCACCAGCCAGGAGCTGCCCTTGGGTCCCCAGGTACCAGCATCCTGGTGTGGGAGCATCCCCGCTTGTATCTAAGGAGCCAGGCAGGGAATTTAGGGGGGAAAAGGGCTGTTTTTCCCACCTGAGCTGGCTTGGCCACCCTCATCCCAGTGCAGTGTCTTTTGGTATCCTTTTTTCCCACTGGGATTTAGCATGGTTTTTCACTTGTATGGGGCTGGCACAATGGGATATTTGGAGCAAAAGGAAAGCTGGGTTCATTTGCTCATAGTTTTGGTATAAAGCTGGGGGGGGGGGTGGGGTGTGTGCGGGGAAAGCAGGGCTCCTTGGCTATAACACCTCCTGAGCTCCCAATGAGGAGGAGGTTGGGATGTAAGCCAAACCCACCCTCCTGCTGCACATTAACTGGAAAAAGTAAGGATCAGGATGCTAGACAGAGGCAGGAGGTTATCCCCCGGGAGCTGAGGGTTGGGGTGAGGGGATGGCAGCAAAACATCACCATTTGGGGCTGCCTGGAAAACAGCTCATACCAATTCCTTGACGCGGTCTTTCCTTTCCCAAAAATAAACAGGAACTGTCTGGAAAGCCCCTGCACCGAGAGAAGCAGAAGTGCCCAGAATAAATAAATACAGGGAGAGAGCCCAGGCTGAGTGCATCCAGCTGGTTCCCACTGCCAGGGGTGGCAAGGGATGAGGACAGAGCTGGGAATGTCTTTGGGGAGGTAAAGGGGAGAGCGCATGGGGCTCTTTCCCTAATGAATGGGATTTCTGGGATGGTCTCCTCATGCAGGACCCACCATGTTCCTCCTGCAGTGCAGCATTCGCTCTTCCCAAAATCCCCCCCCCCCCCCGCAGCATGACCCTTTTGACTTCAGTTACAAATGGATTTAGGGGAGGGGGAAAAGCAAATCTTGGCTTTGTGGCACCAAACCACGAGTAGCTTCCCATTGCTGCTTCTAGGGCTGGGATTTTTCATGCCCCAGCTCCTTTTGCCACAGTTTCGCCGTTCATCCGACCCAAAGCCTCTCCAAATCATCCTCACAAGCACAGGGAGTAAGGACACGGCAGGCTTGGAGCCAGAGCCAGGCTTCATGTTCATAGATGTTATTAAGATGATGAATTAAATATGAATTTGGTTTCAGGCATAATATCCAAATCACCAAGAGACCTGACACGCTGCATTGCATAAATGCTCAGCATGTTCCTTAACATGATAGTTCCACTCCCTTGGATACAGGCTTCGGGATGGACTGGGATTGAGCATTTACTCTGCTCAGGAACCAGAGATGACTCTCCTCTGCCTTTTTCTGACAGGTAATTCCATGGTTTTTGCTGGCTGTGTGAGTGCTGGGGCACTTATATAAGTATATATATATGTAAGTATATATATATTATATATATAAGTATATATTATCTGCAGGGGAAACATCACCCTCAAGCTCATTGGCTCTGCCCGATTCCTCTTTCATGCCCTGACAGTGGGAGTTTGTGACTGAGAGCAGTCAGGACAGGGCTGGGAGAAGCTTCAATTCACTGCTCACCATCTTCAGTTCAAAGTGACATAAAGGCCAAAAAAAGCTCTCTATAAATGGGGAAATAACTAAAAAGCAGTGTGAGAGCTGAGTCTTGCTACATGAGGGGCTACATCACCCCTGAGCACAGCGCAGGGCTGCAGCAAGAGGGTCCCTTCATGGGCAGGCAGGGTTGTTCAGGCCAGATCTGGCTCTCCTGTGCATCCTTGACCAGGGGAAACTTTAGTTTGCCTTTTTTAGCATCATTTGAGGTCTTGTTCCCCCCCCCCGCCAAAGCCTCAGGTTTCTGGTCAAAGGGACGGTCCCCAGCAATCCAGAGCCACATGCAGACCTTCCAAAATCCCCACATCTGGATGGGAAAAGGTGGTTTCAGAGACATAGGGTGGCAAAAGGTGATGTTCCTGGAGGAGAAAGACCGAGTCAGGGATTTCTCAGAGAGCTTTATTACGGGTGAAAAAGGAACAGTAACAAACCAGCTCTTGTGGACCACACTAACAAACCATCTCGGTTCAGTGCACTGGATCAAGTGTGGCACAAAGTGCACGGATTTCAACTCTCCTGGAAAAGAGAAGAGAGAAGTTAAAGCACCTCTGGGACCTGTAAGAGGCTTAAACCCATCTGGAGAGGAAGGTGCTCATGCCCAATCATAGAATCATGGAATGGTTTAGGTTGGAAGAGACTTCAAAGCCCATCCAATAACAACCCCCTGCAATGAGCAGGGACATCTTCAGCTAGACCAGGTTGCCCAGAATCACATCCAGCCTGGCCAAACTTTGCTTTTAGAGATGAAAGACACAGTTCTGCGTGCAGCAAAACACTTCAGTTGCTTCGTTGGCTCCTTCTGAGCCTGGTAAACCGATGGGTTCACCTCCAGAACAGCTTCCTGGTCTCCCTTTCCTGGTTTACTGCCATGATCCTGGGATCTCCTTTTGGCAGGGATTGCTGCCTCCAGCTGCTGCTAGCTGCGGGGAAGCGGTTTGGCGTAGACTGGCTCCATGAGGTGGTAGATCAGGAACAGGAACAGGCACCCAAGTAAGACCAGGGACATGACAGCCAGGAGGACAAAGCGGCCGATTAAGAAGGTGTCCACGATCTGCAGTGGGAAGGGAGGAAAAGGAAAGACCACAACACCCATTACAGGAGCCTGGAGGGAGCACGCCACGTCCTGCAGAAGAGTGCTGTCAGAGAAGATCGCTCCAGGAGGAAAACCAGTGGGGTTCCCCCAGATTTCTCCCCTCGCTTTTCATTCCTGACACCGGTGCTCTCTGCGGGAAGCGGGAATGACTGGAAGAAGAATCCCTTTCATCTGAACAAAGGAAATGTGGAGGAAAGGAGCAGCACAGGGAAGAAACACAAGACAAAACCCGCAGCAGCTCCCCCTGGCCAAAAGCATCCTTTTAGAAGGGGAGCAGTGGGGAAAAGAGAAGACTGAAAACGAGGGCCCAGCAGCAATGCAAGACACAACGAGGAGCCAGGTTACAGAATCATCCTCCCAGCTCCTGAGCCCACAGCAGAGCTTCGCTCGGCCCAGCTCAGCCCTACAAATCCCACCAGCACACGCTCAGCCCTGGTGCTGCTGCGGGAAGAGTCTCCTGTGAGTGAAAGCGTTGGCTCTTCCTGCACGTTTCTCTTTTTAATGAGGCAGTTAGCAGGGTTTCGGTGCAGAAAACCCAGGTCATGCATTATTGATAGGCAGGGCAGGGACAGTCCAATTGAAGGTATAAGCTTTCCAATTCTGTTGCTCTCCCGGGCACACACACACTCAGCTGCCTTTCATCTCGCTTCCAACCTTTACAAGAGCAAGGTAGAGAAAAGACAAAACACTTCCCAGTGTCTTTAGTTGGGATTGACACAGACCCAGCATCTAGAAGAGCGGTAATTAATGTGCATTAATAACTGAACAGAGGAAATGGCACCTAAAACACCACTAAACTTTGTGTATTCCCAGCCCGAGGAGCCCTGGGGAAGCTCAGGCAGGCTGATGTGACCCACAACTGAGGGGAGAGATCCCTGTGCCTGACAGCACAGACCAGGGGCTCCGCACACACACAGATGGCTCCATGCTTGAGCGCGGGAATAACCTGTAAGAGAGCTGAAGAGCGGTTACCAGGCTTTAGAATGCAAACCCAGAGCTGGGGACAGTGAACGGCTGCAGAATTAGAGGGGGAAATATCCAGAGTGCGCTGGGTGATGGAGGCAGGAGGGAGCCTGGAAAACACATGGCCCAAGCTGGAAAAGGGATGGCAGAGGGGGAGCAGAAGCTGCTGGAGCTCAGGGCTGAGCCGGGAAGGACAAGAGCATGGGGGCAATTCCTGCGCAGAGGAACCATCCTGATGTAAAGGCTCATCCCCAGGGACCATCCCAAGGTAAAGGCTCACTCCCACGGACCATCCCGAGGTGAAAGCCCATCCCCGGGGCCTCGGGTCCCCCCTTGCGGCCCCCGCCCCGAGGTGCCGCCCCGCACACCCGCCCCTCTTGGCCGCGGTCCCACCTCATAGACGGCCGCGGTGCTCGGCCGCTCCTCCTCCCGCGGGAACAGCAGCAGCGCGGCGCTGAGGACGGCGGCTCCCAGCGCCACCAGCACCACGGTGAACCTGGAGGGGAGCGGGAAGCAGCCTCAGCCTCAGCCCCCAGCCCGGCCTCTCCCCGCCCCTCCCGTGCTCACCGTGCTCGCCCGGCGGCTCGGGACAGCACCAGGCACAGCACCAGCGCCAGCGCCCACAGCAGCTGCAGCGCCAGCACGCCGGGGCCCAGCCCCAGCCCCAGCGCCGCGCCCGCCATGCTGCCCCGCCGCTTCCCCCTAGCAACCGCGGCGCTCAGCGCCCGCGAGAGCCACTCAGCGCCGCCCGCCGCCCGCCCGCCGCTTCCTATTGGCTGGGGGAGCGCGGGGACGTGATTTTTCCCACGCTGCCACACGCGGGGGCGCGCCACTGGGGTCCGTTCTCGCTGCCGCCGTTCCCGTTGGCATTCCCGTTCCCGTTGGCATTCCCGTTCCCGTTCCGGCTGCCCTGACTACAAAAGACTCTTCACTGAAAGGATGCCCAGGCGTTGGAACAGGCTGCCTAGGAGTCAGCGTCCATGGAAGTGTTCACACCCCGTGTAGACGAGGCCCTCAGTGCCGTGGGTTAGTGGTGGCCTTGGTAGGCAAAGGTATAGACTTGGTGATCTTAAAGGTCTTTTCCAACCTGGTTGATTCCGTGATTCCCCCACACCTTATCCTATTGTGTATGGATCAATGCTTAATTAACCCAGCGTTGCTCATTGCACAGGCTCCTGCCCATGGTGCTGCAGGGAGCACCACTTGTCTGAACAAGGTTTCAGTTCCCCAAGTCCTACAGATTCAGCTGCCTCCACCCTCAGGTTATTTAGGGCTAAAAGCAGGCAGGTTTGGTTAATACAAACTGATGACAGCAGGGTTTGTGTGGCTGTGGGACAGCCATACTGGGGGTCAAGGGCCACTAAGCCAAGCAAAGGAGGTTTGTCAACGCACTGAGTAGCCTTTAACACCCAGACATGAGGGATTTCCATTTAAAACCCATTTTTTCTGCCTGTTTTTAAACCCTTTTTCTCCCTCATTGCATCTTGACCATCACTTTCTGGCCAGTGTCGTTTGATGGTGACTTTATGCTAGTTCTCAGGACTCATCTACCTGTTAACCTGAAAAAAAACAGCATAAAATGATATATTCAGTTTTTCCCCTCAACTCCTTGAAGCCTGATGACATCTTGACTGCATAAAATGAGGTAAAAACCTGCTGTTTTCTTTCTGCCATTCCTTTCAATGGGAGGAATAAACTGGTGGTTAATTATGCTGCGTGGCATCGACCTGCCTTTTCCTGCGATGAAATCAAAATCACCAGCGTGACATCCCCCAGTTGAGCAAGCAGAGCACAGACTGTCTCCAACACCTGCCTTCACTTGGCATCGAGTAGGAACCTGATGCCAACACATTAAAAGTGTATGTTTGATAGCAAGCTCTCCTGCGCTGTCTTGTGTCATTAATCCCACCACAGGGGGGTCTTTTTCTCTGCAAAACCCATGTTGGCAATGTCCATCTTCACCTTCTTAACCCTTCTCTGTTATTCCCATGCTCCCTGCTCCTGTTGGCAATCAGAAATCAAATGAATCCTAAAATCAACCAGGTTGGAAAAGACCTTTAAGACAATCAAGTCCAACTTTTACACCAGCACTTCCAAGGCCACCACTAACCCACATCACTAAGGCCCTCATCAGATTTGCTTCTGTTGTTTGAGAATCTCCCTTTGCTTTTCCCCGTTTTCCCCTTTATTTTGCATTTTTGGACCCCAGTAGTTTGTAAACCCCCAAATTTCTTTTACATAGCCCTGTATTCAAAGGGACTCCTCCATCCTTTAGCTTTCCATCTAAAAGCGATAATCTTTGTGCATCAGCCAGCGAGGCTTTTCCTTTACTGAATTTTCCCTTCTACCTTTTATCCACAGAATTTACAATGGCATCTTTAATCTGTTCCCATATCAGTTGGCTCTTTTCACTTTTTATTATCTCCTTCATCTCCTCTTGGTGTTACCTGGTAGTTTCTTGATGCCACAATGACAATGTCAAGCAAGTTCAAGTGGTTGTAGCACAGAGCTGGAATCATTCAGCTATTGAACCTGCTGCTGACCCACACCACATCCCAGATATTTGACCAGAAGTCAAGGAATATATCTGATCTGCCCCAGCAATCACATCCAGTGATCAGATTTGAGCCATGTTGCTTGTCGGTTTTAATCCCATCAATTGTGTCCAGCACAGTTGGTCTGATGGTAGCTCAAGCGCTAAGATTTGGAGTTGAAATGATTCCCAGCAGCCCAACATATCCCTATAATATTTATTTATATGGCACATATGGTATTTCAGCAGGGCCATGGGTTTCTCTGAGCTCAAGCCATAAATCCACAGCTAAGGAACTGGACATGGTAGCCGGGAAAACCAACCTCATCGATGTGATATTTCCCAAGCATGAGCTCCCTGAGAAATTTCTTCAACCCAGCTGCAACCAAACACATCATCCTAAACACCCTCTTCTTTATCTCAGCCTCCCCTGGCATCAGATGAGGAATGATTTGAAGGATGCTTCATCACCACAGGGTGGTTTTTCCTAAGGATAAGATCAGGGAATTGCAGCGTTTCTTGGCAAAGGCATGGAAAAACATCCTGATGTTGGAAGTGGACAAAATGAACTTGGCAGAGAGATGCAATTAGTGCTGAGGCTAATTAAATGCTTGGCCCAGGAGGACGGAGAAGTCACCTTCCTTCAAGGGCTGCAAGGCAGGATCACATGGATCAAAGCTCCTTTGTAAGATGTCACTCAAGGAACAGGCCCTAGGTTCGAGATGGCATTTTTTGAGTTAAAACCCTGCAAATCCCCCATGCCCAGTTCATCCTGGTGACCACAATGGCCAGTAATGTCTAATATCAAGTGATATGAAATGATCAGCCCCTCAGTGGCAAGGTTGGGAGCAGTGGGGGAATTGATTTAGAACTCTTTGCGCAGTCGTAAAACTTGCAGGTTTATGGCTGGAGCTCCCTGATACTCGGATATTAGAATGAGAAAGAAACAAGCGTTGATGCAAGCACGAAAATATTCTGCTCCTGATTTAAAGACCAGCGAATTGCTAAATATTTTTATTAGCAGCAAATTTGCAGCTTGCTGGAACTAATTTCACGCCCGGTAGATATGGAGCTTAAGCTGGGGATGGCGTTAAATTACTCCCTTGTAAAGATATTTCAGCCTGATGATGGAGGTGCCTTCGGTCGGATGGTGGGGACCTGGCTGGGGACCTCCTTCTTGGGGTGGCTTCTTGTGGGCTGGGATGGTGGCTGGGATAAGCTGAGGTCTTGAAGCGTTGATACAAGCTCATTATTTCCCCCTTAATTGCAATAGGAACCACCAACACCCCCCCTCATTTGCATAAATTTGCTTATGGATTTGTTGTAAAGCAACGCAGGAGTGGGACAGGGGCAAGACCCTGAGATCCTCCAGCCTGGAAAGATGATATTTCTATTTTAGAGGTGGTTTTGGTGTCTTTTGGAGATTATTTTGTCTGCTCAGGGTTTAGTTGATTTAATTAATGTTTATATTTGTTTAATAGGTTTAAAAATTATTAAAAATGATTTAATTGGTTTTAATTGATTTTTTTTTTTAATTTAGGATATTACAGATTTAGTTGATTTAGGAAGTAGATGAAGGCATTCACAGCTGGATCCCTAAGCACTGCTCGCCCTCCATGCCCATTCTTTCCATGTCTTTCTTTTCAGCTGGAGGTTTTACACCTTGGAGATGATTTTCTAGCCTGAATCCCACCCTCTTCCTCCTGCAAGGAAGCACCAGGAATCACCCGGCTTAATGCACTTGGGAAAGAACACCCCATCCCGTTTTGTCTTCCTTGGATACAAACCGGGACAGGTGCAGGGCTGGGGCCGGAGGATGCGGAGCTGAAGAAAGCCAAGCAAAGGCGTCAGGAGGATCTGATTACCCCTCTAAAAATACCTCTGGGTGAGTGGTGGTGGTAAACAAGAGCTATTTAAATCCCCATGTCCGCTTTCTGCAGTGGAAATAGAGGAGGTTAAAAGAGTTTCCCCCTTCTTCTTGGAGCACACATATGGCAGAGAAGTGCTAAGTTGCCCTTTTCCAAAGAGAAATCCTGAAGAAAAGAAAGTTAAAATAATAGGAGAGGGTTTGTAATGGCTCCGTGGGGATTCAGCTCTCTCCCTCAGGAGCCCACTTCAGATTATCTTTCTCTTGCTGATGGCGGAAATCAATTTTAATCGTCCTGACGGGAAATGAGGATGTAAGACTTCAAAGAGAACAAACCCTGCAACGTTCAGAAAGTAATAAAATGGGATATGAAGTCACTTTTAAAAGGGGAAAAACCCATCCCACCTAGAGGAGATGCCTCTAAAAGCCCTGAAAAGTTTTGGTTGGTGGGATGTGGAGGAGCAAAAGCGTTTCCCATGGTGGGATGAGTCTGACCCCAACCAAGAAGCACTTGGAAAAGGTGGATGGAGGAGGACGGCATGTCTCTGTCATCACCTGTTATGTTCAAAATGCTGCCAACTGGGAGGAAGTTGGTTTTTTTTTGAGGGTTTTCGTGGCTTTTTACATTAAAAGCAATTTTAATTCAGTCCTGTACATTTGTACCTCGGTCCAAGTAAAGGCTTTTTGATACTTGGCTCTCCAAAGTTAAAGCACAGGGATTTCCTTCCAAATGAAAGTCATATAGTCATTTTCTGGTGATGCTTAAATGTCATCATGCCCACATGGGGTGACATTTTCCCAGGGGGTCAACACCCCTGAATGATATTGCAGCAAAATCTGATCCAACCAAGGAGGGAAAGGAGGTGAGAAACCACCAGAGAGGCTTAAATTGGGTTGTAAAGCCCTCCCTGCAAGTGATGGAGCAGAGGCAAAGCTAAAAGGAGAAGGCAAAGAACTGATGGAAAACGAATATGAGGAGGTTGAGGGGAGAAATAAAGGCAAGAACAGGTCTGGGGAGATGCTGAGAATTAGAATTTGCTTTCAGAATGGCATTCCCAAAGGTGTTAAAGCACATGGTGAGATGTGTTTACAAGAAACTGTTGGTTTCCAACATATTTCTCCAGGAAATGCTGTTTCCCATAAATCTTACCCTTAAATGAGTTTTATTATGGGACCTTCTTGTGTTGTTGCTTTTGGAGACCTTTTGCTTTACCTTTGTCATATTCTTCCTCCTTCCAACTAAAGAGTTTTTAGGCAAGAAACCAAAGAGTCATCGATAATAAACCCTTGACACTTCACTTTAAGTGGCTCATCATCATTAGTTCTTCTGGTATTCCTCATAATGACATTAATCACCAGCCACTCATTAGACTTTAATGTGCCCGTAATAAGTTCATCCGTAGTAATTCAATCGTAATCGAGCGGTCAGTAACGTCTCCTTATTGGAAGGGGTTGGGCATTGGCAGCATCCATCCATGGTGGGATGCTGGGTGACCGTGAGCTACCAGCATCTACTGAAATGGTCCCCAGAACATTCAGGCAGGGTTTCGTTCTGGAAGCCAAGCCTGTTTGGTGTTTGAATCATCCTTTTCTCCTTGGCTCTTTGCTCCCACCCTTTTTCATTTACCGTGGATCGATTTTTCCCTCCTGTTCCCCAGGCAGCAGCTTGGAAATGATTCTGCTCTTGTTGGGTTTTGTTCTTTTAGATTTAATTTCCTTCCTTATTTGTGTGTGGCAGTGGGGAAATTAGCTGGGAACTGGTTGAACCTGGGTACGCAAGGACAAAGCGCCGCGTGGCTCCTGGGAGCTTCACTCCAATGTCATGGTGGTGCCCTTAAGATCTCCTCTCCCGGATTCTGGAGCACATGGGATGCGGATCTTATACCCCACAGTTAAAGTCTGGATTTTTCACACACCTCAGAGTCAGTGGTAAAAAGGATGTTCTTGTGTATCCAGATGAGTCCCTCCTGCTGTGTTGTGATTTCATGGTCCTTCCAAAACCATTCACCGGCTGCCTGGAGTTCTACAAGGGCACCGTTTTAGCTCAGCCGTGGAGTTTTGGTTTTGGATCTAGAGAGCTTTGCATCCCAAAAGATGCATAGCACTTACTTTACTTCCCCTTGCCTGCAGAGGAGATGTTATGTAGTGCTTTGGTTTTTTCAGGTCCATTAGCAAGTCTCTGAGATACCTCCAACAGCCAAGGCTATGAATCATTTAGACAGGATTTAAGATCCTTTTGGGTAACCTGTGCAAAAAATACATTCAAAGGCAGCTAATCAAATGGCTTTGAGGGCTGTAAAAAAGCAGAATTCAATCCCTGCAAACTTCCCTAGATGTAATTTCAGGAGAGATCAAAGATGACACTAACCTAAGGAAGTAAAGCTTCTCAAAATTCAAAGTTTATAGTCCATCTGTCTCCTTGCTTCAGGGAGCCAGTATTAAATTTATTGCTAAATAAAACAAATAAGCCTAGGAAAAGTCAGCATTAAAATCTGCATCTTGTAAGAGAATTAACAGAGCTCCTTGTTATGATGGTTGCTTCTCAATTTGCATCTTTAAGGAGTTGTGACCATCTCCCTGCTTCTCCCTTCGTCGGCTCCTCCAAAGCTGCGCTGGTGCTGGCTTGTGTTGCTTGGTAAGGAGATGCTGAGGGTGGAGGTTGAGCTCCCAGCATGGGCTGATCTGGAACGGGGATGGGGAAGGGATGCTGAAGCCCAGCCAAGGTAGAGAAACATCTCAGGTGAAGAAACATCTCAGGTGGAGCCAAAATTTAAAAGGGCAGGATTCAGCATCACCACGTCGCTTTTGTTGGCTGCCTGGTACCCAAGTACTGCAGATATCCGAGTGAAATAAGTTGGGAGGGGAGTGTTATTGCTTTCCCTGGCTTATCCCGTTAGTTAATCCCATTTTTTTTCCTACAGTATTTGGACAAGGTGTAGTTTTATGATTATTTAGATGTTTTATTCATCCTGGTGTGTATCCCTCCAGCCCATCCCTATCTCAAGTGGCTGATATTGCCTTCAGAAAGCAGACTCCAAAGGTTGCTCAAGTGCTGGAGGTAAGTCACTTTAAACATCCAGATCCTCCTTTTTTCCCCCCTTTATTCCTGGAAATGCTTGGGAAAGGATCAGTCAGCCGGATGCTCGAAGTAACTGCATGGCAGAGCCTAAAGGAGCAGCAGGAACCAGCCGTGGACTTATTATGCCCTGAAATGAAACGTTTAAAAGGAGGAAGTTGGCAGCAGGGCTTTTCTAATCAAAATCTATATAACCTGCCATTTATCTAGCATTTTTCCTTCTGGAAGGACCCCAAAGTGCTTTCCCGGCTCAACAAGCCATCATTAACCCCTGCTCAGCCAGCGTGAGAGAAATCCCATTTCTTCCCAGTCAATCCTGGCTGCTTGGTGGGGGTAACAGGGAAAAATCCTTTCTTTTGGCTTTAGCTTTATTATCGATCCATCAATCCCACAGAAGAAATAAGATTTAATCTTATTTAATCTCACATGGAAAAACCTCTGGGAATATCGAGCTATCCTGGCATCGACCACTTGTTCTTAATACATCCTCCTTGTCCCTATGGATTATCGATAGAGCCTTTCATGATATTCTCCTGTTTATTTATCTGTTAGTAGTTGTAAAGTCAGTGTAGCATCACGGTGTGCCTAAGACTATTTAATATGCATGATGCCATCTTTTCAGTGACATAAATCTTGGATTTACTCTCTTATTATTCCCAGGAAAATCATGTGCAGAGGTAAAACCAAACATATTGAAGAAGAGGAATTGGCCTGTGTGTATGGAAAGTAACCACAAGCAGAGGGAAATCGGCCTGAATAGGAATCCTCCAGGAGCTGAATAGTTAAAAACTGGGAGATCCCTTAATTTCAGCCTGGGTTTGGTACAAACATTGTTGGGTTTGGACACAGCTTTTGGTGTGTCCAATACCAGGTTAATTATGTTGGTTTTGAGGCTGGTTTTAAGGCTGATTTGATTCCTCCCTTCTTGAAACTTGTAACTGGAGAGGGGTTTGAAATGTGTGGGGAAACATCTGTATCCTCAATGTCTTGTAAAAATCCAGCATGATTTTTGGATTCATTGGATTAAGCATCCTCCACTGATCACAGCACGGTACCTGAGCTGGAGGGATGAAGGGTTGGTGGGTACCACCACCCTCTGAGCTATTTGGAGCAGCATCTGATCCAAAATAAGTCCTATGTTTTCCCGTTTTAGCATCCTTTAACTCCCAAGGGGGTCAGACATCCTTCCACTGAGCGACTTGCTTTGGACGGGATATCCTCCCCTTCCATCCTTGAGCTCTGTTTAAGTCAGGCTCAGCGCAAAGCTCAGTCTTGGCTGTGTCCTAAAACCTTCTTGTTTTCAACATCTATTGTTGAATAATTTATTTGGCTTCACTCATGTATTTTTCCAGAGTATCCCATCACAGTTTTCTTAGAGGAATTCAATGTGAGCAATAAGGCAGTTTTGGAAAGGGAACTGAATTATTTATGGAGGAGCAGCCCAATGACAGCAACTAAACCACTGTAGTTGATGTCATTTGTCTTCTTCCGAAGCCTGTTATGTAAAAATGTGAATTTTCCCTATTCTGGATGTTCCTGCTCTTGCCAAATGTTTAATATTTGAGCCAGCTTGCTCCAGGAACTTGTCACTTTGGAGAAAGAGCATCCATGGACTCAGGAATAATCATGGATTTGTTCACAGTAAGGATCTATTCACAACATGGACTTTGAGTGCACCAAGAAACCATCCCTCTGAGATGTCCTCACCCCAGCTCTGTGGCAGGTAAAAGGCACAACCCCCAGATGTGGGAGACTCAACAGGTGAAGGGGGTGAAATTTCAGGGAAGGTTTTCCAGCAGTCCACACTCTGGTTTGGAATAGGGATGTGGAGTTAGGTGTTTGATGAAAGATCCTGTGGTTGTGGGGGTTTGTGCATCTCTTCCAGCTGCGTACCACCTGCAGCCCTGGGCTGTGGTCACTGGAGGGTGGTCTAAGGGCAGGGAGAGTGGGTTGCTGTCCACCAGACACCTCGTTGGAGCTGGCTCTGCATCCCAGCAGGGATGCTGCTGAGCATCCCTGGCCCTGCAGATGTGGGGACTGAGGGATGGCAGGATGAGATCAGACCAAAACAGGCTCATCCAGGGGTGACTTGTTACAGCAGAAAGGTGCTCAAGGAGTGGACGTGGGATGCTCAAGGAGTGAATTTGGGATGCTAGATACTGCTGGCACTGGAGAAAACAGCCTTGCCCTCTTTCCATCTCTGTTTTCCAAGGTGAGATGCTGAGTGGGGATGATCCCATGGTCCTTTGACACCAAGATGATGGGTTCCCATCCTTTCCCTTAGCTTTCAGATTCAGGGGAATGCTCGAGAGTTTATGGCTCCTCTTTGCTCGTTGTCCCAGTCAACTGATTTACAAGGTAAGAAATTCCCATAAATCATTGCTGCGGCATCTCCAAAGGATCAGGGGAACCCAGAGGAGGTCAATGTCTTTCAGAGGTTGCTTTCAAGTAAGAGGCACAAATGTTGCTGTTACCTGGAAATGTTTTCTGGATGGGATTTGTTTTGAGCAGGATGAGCTGGAAGGAGGGATTTAGAAATGTGGGAACCTCAAGAGGGAAAATTAAGTTGGTTTGAGTTCCTGGCCTTAAATTTAAGCTTGTTTTTCCACCTCTCCCATCACATCCCTGACCTTACAGCCATCCCTTAGGTATCATTCATACATCCTGCTGTAACTCTTTGGAGCTGATTTTTACCATCCCAAAAGAATTCCAGGGATATTTTGAGTGATTCCTTCTCCCATCTGATATTCCTTAGGAAATGGCCAGAAATTCTGCTTTTCTTACAAATCCCACTGCTGATGGCAGTTTTCATCAGGGAAGGGGATGGAAAATCAGGAGAAATAGAACTGTGGCTGGGATGAACTGGAGATATCCATCCCTGTGGCTTTTGAGATAAGATGTGAGAAAATCTAGCTAAAGGACCCAGTGCCCCAGTGCTTCCCAGTGCTTCCTAGTGCTCCCAGTGGAAGCAACTCCAGTATTTGTGGGGAGGAAATCTGTTTGGAGGAGACAGATACCGGCTGAGGGGGCAAATGTGTTTTTAGAGGGGGCAGATGCTGTTTGGGGGGGGGGACAGATGCTGCTGAGGGGGCAAATATATTGTCGGGGGGGGAAATGTGTTTGGGGGCGTTTGAGTGGTCCCCTGGGGAGGTCCCAGATGGTGGTGGTGGGGTGGGTAAATGGTTATTTCTGGGGACAAAAGTGTTTGGGGGGGGGATGTTTGGGGGTGTCCGAGTGATGCCCAGGGGAGGTGCTAAGGGGAGCCGGCCAGCAGGGGGAGCCAGCGGAGTGTCCGGAGGAGGGGGCGTGGTTTCGGGGGGCGTGTCCATGCGGGGGGGTGGGGGGCGTGTCCATGGGGGTGGGGGGGGTGGGGGGGCGGTGCGGGGCGTGCCGGCGGCGGCGCGGCGGGGCCGGCGGGCGGGCGGCGATCGCGGCCGCGCTGTCAGGCCGGTGCCGGTGTGATGAAGATTGGCGGGCAGGTAGGGCTGCCTGGCTGTCACTCACCGCCGGGCCGCCGCGCGGGGGGGGGGCGGAGCCGAGCCGAGCCGCGCGGACAAAGCGGACCGGGCGGCGGGGCACGTGCGGCGGCGGGGACACCCCCCCCCCTTTTCCCCCTTTTTCCTTTCCCCCTTTTCCTTTCCTCGTCCCCCCCCCCCCCCCCCCGTTTCCCTTTCCATCCCCTCCGCTGCGGGAAGTAACTTGCCGTTCCGCACTGCCTCCCCTCCCGGTGCGGTAGCGCGGGCCTCGGGTGCAGCGTGTGCGTGTCCCCGGTGTCCGGTTCCCCCCCGCGCCCCCCCGCCCGGGGCTGACCTCCAGCCCGCTGCGGTTTGCGGTGCGCTCCGGTGACCCCCCCCCCCCCCCCTTCCTCCATTCTCACCGCGGCCGGTTGCGATGGTTTCGGGGCGCTGCGGCGATCCCGCTCCCCGCTCCAGCCGCTTGCGGTGGCCCCGGGGGGCTGCAGCGATCCCGGGGGTTCAGCACCCCGCAGCCGGTTGCGATGCTCTCGGGCTGCCCGTAATCCCCCCAGCCGGTTGCAGCCTCCCCCGGCCGGTTACAGCACCCTCCGCAGACCCCCGACCGCTTATAATACCCTCGGACCGCTTGTAATCCCCCACGGGGGATCGCAGCCCTCCAGGCTAGTTGCAGACTTGCTGCAGATCCCTGACCGGTTGCAGTAACCCCCCCCCCCCCGTCTCCGGGCGGTTGTAACCCCTCCAACCGGTTACAGACCCTCTGCAGACCCTCCGACCGGTTGTAATGCCCCCCGACGGGTTCTTATTCCCCCCCCAACCTATAGCAGTTCCCCCGAGGGGCTCTAAACCCCCCAGCCGGTTGCAGTTCTACCCGCCCGGGGGTGTTTCAACCCCCTTGGGCTCATTCTATACTGCAGCTGCAAAGTTGCTCCCCCCCTCCCCGTGCCAATGGGGCTGGGGCAGGGGGTGCTGCTTTGTCCACAGCTCCCCAGCTTTGCACTCCGTTACCGTGGGGTGCCCCCCACCAGTACCCACAGGGCACCCATTGGGGTGGGCTCTCAGGGCTCCATGTGGGCTTGATGCCAGCCCTGGAATGTGGCCCTCACCAGCATGTCAAAGGCTGCCACTGCTCGTGGGGGTCACCCCATTCCACTGGTGCACCCCATTCCCTTGGGACAGCTCCATGGGACCCCCCCCAGGCGCATCCCTCCCGTGCACACAGGGGTTGACAATCACTAAACCACCCCCACCCCCCCCCCGTTAGCGGTTGTCAGTGATATTGGGGGGGTCCTTACCCACCTTTATGAATCCGAATTCCCATTTTTCGTTCATTTCTGAATTATTTTAGCACATTTACGCTCGCGGGAGGGTGGCTCCGCCGGCGGCATCGCGCAGCTCGGGAAGTTTCGCCATGGGATCCATGCCCCCCCCCCCTTTCCCTCTTCATCCCGGTCCTCGACTGGGCGTCGAAGTGCAGTTTGGGCTCCGGCTCTTTGTTTGGGCTCTTCCCGGTTTTTCTCGCTCCTAGGGATCTTTTTACCCCACTATCTCGGTAACGGGAAACCCTAAACCCAGCAGGATATTTTCAAACTCCCAGCCGGGGAGATTAGATTAAGGGAAAGGCGGGGGGGGGGGGGGGGGGGGATGGATGGATTATTTTTGGCCGGGATGCGGGGGCAGCTGTCTGTCGAGGAGAGGCAGAAAATAGGGAAACGGCTTCATTTCACTTAATTTTCCTTGGTTTTAGACTTATTTTACCTAAAAGGTTTTAGGGGGCAAAACCTGGCTCCAGTGGAACGTCTCGGGTGTTGTGCCTCTAAAAGTGCTGACTCGGTGGATTTGGAATCTTCCCATGGTGGGGAAAAAGGGGGTGTAATAAAACCATCCCCAAACTTTTGGGGTGTGATGTGTTGGGGGCTGTTTTCAGACAGAGGGTTTTGGGTGGGTTTACTGGATTTTGGGTTAAAAAAGACCACTTATTTCTGGGGTTTAAGCCATCCAGACAGATGATGGGATCGGGATTCCCTCCTATTTCCTTTTTTCCCTCCTTTATCTTTTATGGAGCTCCCTGTGCTGAGATTCCTTCATTAGGGGCAAAAGTTAATTGCTTGCGGCTAATTATGGGAGAGGTTAATAGGGGTGCTGGTGGCAGCGGGCAGGGGATGTTGTGCTCCCAGCACCCCCAAATCCTCCTCTTTAAGGCAGTTTGTAGCCCTGGCACCCCCAAACCAACATCAGGGGGACCATAACCCCTTGGTTTTAATGTTATATATATAAAACATTCTGTGTCTATAATATAGATAATACATAACATGAAACACCCTTTGACAGCATGGGGTAGGGGGAAACAACGGGAGGAAAGTGATACTCTACTTGCAGGAACATTTTTCCTTTTCCCTCCATCATTTTGGGAAGGGAAATTCCTCTTTTTTTTTTTTTTTTTTGAGGAACTCTCATTTTTTGAAGGAAATCTCACCCTTTTTTAAGAAAATCTCTTTTCTTTTAGGAAGTATCTTTTTTTTTAAGGAAACTGCATTTTTAGTAAGGAAATCGTTTTTTTTTAAGGAAATCTCTCACTTTATAAGGAATTTTTTTTAAGGCAATGTCCTGGGCTCAGCAGTAGCAGTCATTTTTCTCCTTCTTGGTATCTGGTGCAGTGCTGTGTTTTGACTTTTGGCCTGGGATCAGAGCTGATAACAAGGATGTTTTGGTTTGGCCAAGGACTTTGTGAGCCTCATGCTCTGCCAGGGAGGAGGGGAAGCCGGGAGGAAGCAGAGACAGGGCACCTGACCCAAGCTAGCCAAAGAAGTATTCCATACCACAGCACGTCATGCCCAGGATGTAACGGGGAGTTACCCGAAAGGGCTGGGACTGCAGGGTTGGAGGAGGTATGGGTCTGTGTTTGGTTGGGCTTGGGGGGCGAGTTATTGGTTGACTGGTGGTGAGATGACGTATTCTCTTCCCTCGTTATTTCCCTTATCATCATTACTGGTGGTAGCAGCAGTGATTTGTGTTATACCTTAGTTACTAAACTGTTCTTATCTCAACCCATGGGAGTTGCATTCTTTTGGTTCTCCTCTCCATCCCTCTGGGAGTAGGGGGAGGGAAAGATGCGGGGGGGAGTGAGTGAGCGAGTTGCCTGACTGGGTTTAAACCACGACAGGAAATAATATTCTCTAACAGAAATTTTACTTTAAAGGAAATTATTTTTTAAGTAAATCTTTTTCTTAAGAATGGGGTTCATTTCAAGAAATTTCTCTTTTTTTAAGGAAAACACTTTTTTAAAATGAAATTACCTTTTTCTTAGGAAAAAATTTTCTTTTTTTAAGGAAAACTCCCCTTTTATTTCAAGAAAATCACCTTTTTTTTTTTTAAGGACATCTCTTTTTTCTAAAGGAAATTCTTACATTTCTTAAAGGAGATCTCCTGTTTTTAAAGTAAGCACAGAAAGTTGTGTTGGAAGGAGAGGATTTTATCCCACTGGAGCATCAGGGAATAACCTTTTTTCCCCAACTCAGGCATAAACCACCTCCCTGAAATGGGACAGCTCTGGATTTTGAGAGATTCTGGCTTTTCCAGTGAACTTTGGAATTACTTCATGATTATTTTCAAGTTGACTGACAGCATCTGCATGTCTCCAAGTGATCACAGGGATGTTTTCCTCCCAAGAGACTTAAATAGTTGTGTGGTCCCACCAGGAAGAGCATCTTTCACCCATCCATCCTCATCCCTAGGGATGCAGGGTCTGGACAACACCTCCAGGTACCATCCGCATCCCAGTTCTACTGTGCTGTTGGGTTTGAGGTATGATGGATACACAGGAATATTTCCTGAGGGCATAGAGAAGAACAACCTGGGATGCTGGGTAGAAATCCCAAATTTGGACAGCAAGGGGAAATTTCCAGCACCATTAGGGATAAATTAGGGAAGATCTGACATTCCTGACCCCTGGGAAAGCCGGACTGAGCATCAATACCTTCTTTATTTTAGGGTATCCTGGATACATCTCAGCATCCCATCCCCAGTTATCCTTCATCCTTGTTGTGGAAAGCTGATTTATTGGTGTGTTAGAAGGATGATTTGCTGGATCCAGACAATTCTCAGTGGAATTTCATCTCCCCCAAACTGTCAGATAACTTTATCCCCAAATAATTTTTGCCATCGCCAAAGAGGGATGTTAACAAATGCCTCAAATTAGGAATAAAATGAATGATTTCCTGGTGGTTTTAGTTGGCTCAAAACAATGATCTGGAGGGATGGGAATTAATCCTTGATTAAATTTAGCCCCAGTTTTGTCCCCACCTCCAGTTTTGCAAGGGCTGATGGGATGCTCCAGGTAATCCCTATGGGAAAACCAACTCCTCTGGAGAGGGATGGAGCCGTGATCCAGGCGGGATGAGGTCGCCTGTGCCCAGCTGTGATTTGCAGCTGTATAAATAAGATGAGAATTTGGCCTCGGCTCTTCTCCCCTCCCCAGTTTGATCTTATTTCTTTGGTATTCCCTATTCCAAAAGGGAAAACAACCCCTTGTTATTCCATACCTTGATTTAAATTAGTGTTTATTAAGTATTTGTGAGCTTCTGGTGCCTGATTTTGGGTTTTCCTTCTTGCTTAAGAGGCCAAGAGAGCTTTTTTGGTCAGTTGGTGCTGCTTGAGTGGGATGCTCTGTGCGGGTAATGAGATGCAGATGTTCTGAGGGACCAGTGCTGGAGGAGCAAGGGGTCAGATGGGGAAGGAGTGCTTGGGAAGAGGATGAAGTTTATCCATAACTGCAGTTTAGGGGCTGTTTCAACCAGAAATAATATTCCATGACCCTCAAAGTTTTATTTACTTAATTTTAAATTAATTTTTTATTTTATTATTAATTTTAGCCTTTATTTTCCATTAATTTTATTTTAAATCTAATTTTAATTTAATTTTTACTTTGATTTTATTTTTATTCTATTTTATATGATTTGAAAACCTCTTTTTAATTTTATTCTCATTATACCACACTTTGCTTTTCC